GAGCGCGCGGGGGCGAGGAGGAGCGCGGGCGCGGGGCTCGCTCGCGCGCGCGGGCCCGCCGCTCACCAGTTGTGCCAGCCCTCGCCAATCGAGAGGATGGCGACGAGCTTGTTCTCCGCGGGGTTGCTCTGCGGGTCGTACGGCCGCCCGCCCCACAGGTGCGCGCCCGAGTTGACCATCCACGTGCAGTGCAGCACCCACACGTACCGCAGGCAGCCCGGCACGAAGAAGCCGTTCCAGAAGGTCTCGCCCCACGCGAGCTGCGCCACAAACCCCGGGATGAAGAAGCACCACACAAAGTTCCACCACGGGTCGTTGCGGTGCTGGAACATGACGGGCCAGTCCGCCTTCAGGTCGTCCACATTGACCTTGCGCCCCGCCTCCGCCACGCGCGGGTCCTTTTTGAGGTACAGCCACCCCATGTGCGCAAACCAAAACCCGCGGATCGCGTCGTGCGGGTCGGCCACCGTCTCCGAGTGGAAGTGGTGCGTGCGGTGGTCGCGCGCCCAGTGGAAAATGGTGCCCTGGTTGGCGCACGAGTTGACCAGCATCACGACGAAGCGGTAGGCGAAGGACGCCTTGTAGCTGCGGTGCGCCCACAGCCGGTGCGCGCCGCCGGTGATGCCAAAGCCGGTGATTGGCCAGAGGATGAAGGCCCACCAGATGGTGGCGACCTGCGCGGGCGCGGCGGCGGCGGCGGCGGCGTGGGACGCGGTGCGCTCCGCCCGCGCCGCTCTCGCCGCAAGGGCGACGCATCTCTGTGCGCAGCTTGTCTGTGCGCAGCTTGTCTGTGCGCAGCAGCCGCGCGCTCATCTCGAGCGGGCGGCGCGCGCCTTGCAGTAGGGCACGAAGAAGATGCCCGCAAAGCCAAGCAGCTGCGTCAGTGTGATGTACGTGGCCATCGTGAAGCGGATGTCCTTCAGCGGCGGAGGGAACGAGGAGCATTTGCGCTCCTGGTCCTTGTACGGGATGGTGGTCTTTGTCTGCGCCGGCAGGTGCGCGGGCTTGGGAGGGGCAGAGAGCGGGAGAGCAGGGTGGCGGCGCGTGCGGATGGCGCGCGCGCGCGTGGCGGCGCGGCGCCAGACTGCGAGCTGTGATGCGGAAGCGGAGACGCGGAAGGGAAAAGGGGCTGCCGACGCACCAGGGTGTCGAGCGAGCTCTCCTCGGTGTTGGCGCGCGAGAGCGAGCTGCCGTAGGCGGCGAGGACCATCTCGCCGCGGGTGTCGTTTGGGGGATTGTCGCCTGCGGGGGTCGGACCGGCGGGGGCTCGCCTCCCGAGGGTCGGGCGCGGCGAGGACAGGGCTGCGCCGCCTCTGATGCAGGGTCGCCTTTGGCGAACCTTCGTCGGAACAAAAAGAATTTCCTGCGGCAACAATCTACTCCGCCATCTGTAGGAGTACTCACGAAGGTGACAGCATTACCGTTGGGTCCGAGAAAGACTCTATGTCGCCGCCCCTGCGTGTGCCTCCACACAGTGTGTGTGCTGCGGACGGCTGGCTGCCAAGCTAGACCTAGAGGAAGGTCGCTCTAAGTGGAGAGAGAGCGATCGCCAGTCGAGCACTGAGCTGCGAGCCTGCCGCTGTCCCTAAGGGAGAGAGAGGCAGAGGGGGAGAGAGAGGAGCATAAGAACTTACTTAGGAGAGCGCAATCGGAGGAGGGGGGGCGCGCCTTCTGCCCCCGTGCCGCCGGGTGCAATCTGTCCTATACGAGAGAGGTGGTGTGGACTCCCTTGGACCTGTCGTGTGGGTGTGAACCCTGCCAAGCCCCGCAGCCCGCTCTCCGTGTCTCGCGATGGCCGATGCGCGCTTCCCCACTTCCGTTCCCTTTGAGAGAGATTTTTAGCAATGTTGTTCCCTTTGTGCCCCTGATCGTCCTTCCTAGATGACAAAAGATCGTTGCTCTGCAAGGTGGGGACTCTGTCCTTCTCTCCCATCCATCCCTAGTTTGGCGTTGTGGCACTTGTGCTGTCTGTTTTCTTTCCGTTTGGGGGGATGTCAGTGTCTCACCGGGCTCCGCCTCCGGGCGGCGGGCGCCACCCAGCGTCAGGGGCGGGGAACCCGCAATTTGAAATGCTCCGGCATCTCAAATTGCCCGATACGATCTCCATTTTAATTGAGATTGCCTCGAGCATCCCAAGATGCATGAAGCAATTCAGGATGCGCGCGCATCCTGAATTGCTTCGCGCATCCTGAATTGCTTCATGCATCTTGGGATGCCTGAGGCAACCAAAGATGTCCACGACATCCCTGATTGAGCCATTACATCCTGAGATGCTGGCCGGAGGGCGCTGCATCTCAGGATGGCTGAATTGGCGTCGCCATCCCCGAGATGTGGCAAGCATTTTCAAATGGATATTTTAATCTCAGATAAATAAGACAATCCAGAATGCGCGCGATGTGCGACGAGGCCTAATAGTCCGCAGCGCCCCCAATGGTGCGCCGCGTGGAGGGCGAGCTCTCCCTCTCCCTCTCCCTCTCCCTCTCCCTCTCCCTCTTACTCTCCCACTCACTCTCTCTATTCTCACTCTCCCTCTTTCTCTCCCTCTTTCTCTCCCTCTCCCTCTCTCTCTTACTCTCCCTCTCCCTCTCCCTCTTCTCCCTCTCCCTCTTCCTCTCCTCTCCCTCTCCCTCTGCATCTCTCTCTCCTCTCCCTCTCCCTCTCCCTCTCCCTCTTCATTTCAACCCTACGCCCCCCTTTTTCCTCTCACTCTCCCATTCACTTCCACTATTCTCATTTATTCTCGTCCTCTCGCTCTCGCTCTCCCTCTCGGTCTCTCTCTCCCTCTCTCTCTCCCTCTCCCTCTCCCTCTACCTCTCCCTCTCCCTCTCCCTCTCCCTCTCCCTCTCTCCCTCTCTCCCTCTCCCTCTCCCTCTCCCTCTCCCTCTCTCCCTCTCTCTCCCTCTGTATCGCGAACACCCGTTTGTGCTCTCCCTCTTACTTCCAACCGCCAGCACACCGCCAGACGGGCCAGCCTCCTCCTCCGCGGCCAGGGGCCTGCGCAGCCGCCCACGCCGTCTGCTGCGCAAGCACAGCCGAGTGGCGTGCGGGGTGTGCACGTCTAGATCTCGCACAGCCACGCGGCGGTAGACAATCAGCACGGCCACGTTCGCCAGGGCAAACGGCGAGAGGCAGGGTGTACTCGCTGATGATGCTAGCGACGAGGAGCCGAAGGTACCACGTTGTGAAAAGCTGCGGCCGAGAAGTGGGAGGCCGTCAGTGGTGGTGTGAGTGAGACGTGCTCCTTGCGCCGGCTCAACGCGCCTCTCTTCGTTAGCGTCAACGTCGACGCGGGAGCCTGGCTGGATGTCGGTGCAGTGCGCATGTCAGGTATGTGTTGTCAGCGCGCGGGTATGGCGTGGGTGCCGTGAGGGTGGGCATGCGCGTGCGACATCAATCACCAGCAGCGTAGCTGCGGGGGAGCGGGCAGGATGCACCATGCGCCACGAGCCACGAGGCAGCTGCGCTTTGACGCTACAGAATGGGAGAGTCCGACAATTGCCCAAATTGCCGTTTACTATTCCGGTTGCGGAATATGCGGAAAGTGCGGAAAACAATGTGCGTGGGGAGGGCGTTACAATCCTGCTTCTTTCTTTCTTGGGCTTTAAAATACCCCGTCAGCAGAGTCCTCCTACGTATCTGAAAGTAGCACATAACACTGAATGAAAATGTCCATCTGTGGCGAGGGTATCGACTACCTTCCTTGCCCTCTACCTCTGGGATGGGAAGGAGTGAGCCTACCAGGTGGCCTTGAAACAACGGTTTCCGCACCGCCTCACGCATCTGCTGATGCGGCCCAAGCTTGCCGCGTTAGCACTGCATCCGGCGCGGCCGCGGGCACCTAACGCGCTTCATTGCTGCCCGGTACGACTGTACTGATCTGGCTTGCGCACCAGTGCTGGCAGGCTCACACCATAGTGCTCCCTTGCCTGCTGGTGTAGGCAACAATACCCTTGCTGGCAAGCTTCACCTCGCGAGCTGCCTCGATGGGGTGCCGAGGCATAGAGATTAGAGTCTCGCCTACGCTGCGGCACAGACACCTGATGAGGACAGCATGATACCACATGAATCTGCCCAGTTGCAGCAAATTCTACTGAACAGTTGAGGGCTGGCGAGAGAGAGACCGTTAAGGAGCGCGAAACGCGCGAGGAAGCCGCGGGCTGCGGGCTCATATACAAGAAGAAAAAGTTGAAAACGAGACTCCTTGTTATCCATAAAAGAGCCACATACATGATATGTCAACCGGCGCACATGCGACGAGAGCGGGCGCCGTTTTTCATTGCCTATTCTAACGAGACACAGAGCAGCGGCACGGGCGTTGCCGATCGAACACGGATTGCTGAGGGCCATGCACAATTCGTGCGGTTATGGGCTGCCACCGCAAAACATGCAAACGACAGGCCACGCCACGTGCGCCACCATATCCAGCTGCGCAGCGGCAACGACTGCCGAGGCGCAGGCCGAGCCGCAGCCTACCCGATGCCCCGCCGACATGCGGCATTGGCCAAAATGCTGGGCATCTCAGGTTAAGGAAGGCAACTTGAAATAGCAAGGAGCATCCTAGAATGCAAAGGGGTAACTCCAGATGCTAGCGCATTCACGAATGCAGTTCGCATTCCAGGATGGTCGACGCATCCTGGAATGCGTGGACCATCTTTGGAATGCGGTGTGCATCTTGAAATGCGAAAAGTCAACTCGGCATTCTGAATTGAAAAATGCAATCTAAATTGATTTTTTGCAACTCAAAATGCCCTCAGCATCTCAAATTGCGGGTTCCCCGCCCCTGACGCAGTGTCAGGTGTCACTGAATGTAATGTGTAAAAAATCGGTGGAGCCTCGTGTTTGTTAAGCCGTGGGGCTACCTTACCCGCTTCACCCTTTTCTCTCTGTAAGACACAATGCAGGGCGAAGGCGCGCGTTAAAGGAAAGAAAAGCCACGCGTTTTGAGGCTTCTGACCGGCGCCGCGACGCCCTCTCTCTCCTCCGCACGTCGGCTCACAATATGCATCCCGCCTCCCCGCACGCAACACAATGACAATATCACAAACACACATCAAGGTAGACGTCACGCGCACGCGCACCCAACACTATTCGTGAGAAGGGCAGCCGGACCTATCCCCCCCGCCCCCCCCTACACACCCTCAGCGGCGGTGCAATCCTGCGACCAGAGAAAGCCGTCGCAGCCCACGCCCTCGCAGCTCGTCCGGTCGGCGGCGAGCAAGTCTCTCAGCTGCCGGTTGAGCGGCGCGTAGAGCGCGCAAAGCTCTGCGCGCGTCGCGGCGAGGAGCGGCTCGCGCGCCTCCGTCGGCTCGCGCCGCCGGCCGAGCTCTTCGCGGGTCGCCGGCAGCTTCGCCTCCGCCGTTGCGAGGCCGGTGGCGTCCACCGAGGCCACGCCCAGCCCGAGGTGCCTCCACGCGCGGCGCAGCGCGGCGCGGCGCGTCGCCGGCTCCAGCAGGTCTTCGGTCCGAAGGCAGAGCAGCGCGCCTGCCCGCGCGCCCGGACTGGTTGCGGACGGGCGCGGCTGGCGGCGGCTGTCATCGGGATCGCGGCGAGCGGGGAGGGCGGAGCGGGGCAGGCGGCGGCGCACCGGCCATGGCTCGCAGCCAGTCTTCGACAAAAGGGGCGTACATGCCTCGGATGATCTGGTCTGTGGGAGGGGAGGAGCGGCGGCGGCGGGCGGGCGTCACCGACGCCGTGGTGGCGCCGGCCGGGGCGTGTGTCCCCGTCCAAGCAACGCTTTGCAGATGGCGAGCAGCGCTCCAGGCTCACGGAGGGTTGGGGGCGGGCGGGGCGGCGGCCTGCGTGGAAAAAGACGGCGGCGGGCTCGGGCCCGAGCTGCTCGAAGTGGATCGCGCAGCGCCGCAGCCCGTGGCGCCGCTCGCACGCCCTCCAGCCGGCCACCTGCTCGGTCACATACTCGCCAAACCGCCGCGCGCCGACGCCTGGAGTCCCCGCGAGCGCGAGTCAGGGACGGTGCCGCCATGCTGAGCGCACCAAAGCTGCGGGGTGGACGCGGCACCGTACTTTTTGCCATAGTGCGGGTGGCCATAGAAGGCGTGCACGAGCCGGTCAATCGGCGAGCGGAGCAGCGCGATCAGGCGCGGCGGCCGGCTGCCGTAAAAGGAGCGGAGGAGCCACGGCGTGGTGAAGTTGAAGGCGCCGCCCGCCGGCACGGTGGGCAGGTCCACCGCGGCGTCGTGCGCGCGCAGCGCCGCCGCCTTGCACGTCCACATCTCCTTCTCGTAGTACGTCTTCTCGCACGCCGGCACGTCAGTGCAGCGCTTCTTGCACGGCCAGTACGACTCCTCCCACCACTTGTGGAAGCGGTGCGCGCTGTCCGGGTAGAACTGGAGCGTCGCGTGGCAGTGGAGCGCCGCGGCGAGCTGAGCCGACGGATCCAACGAGGCGGGGACGGCGCGCTCGAGCCAGCGCCGCCCGCCCTCGTCGTTCTTCCACTGACCCCAGCACGCGCCGTTGCCCAGCGGCACGAGCGCTTCTGGGTGCGACGCCCTGAGCAGCGCCGCGAGGTGCTTGGTGCCAGTCTGCCACGCGCCGAGCACAAAGGCCCCCGGCGCGCAGCGGCGGCCGGCGGGCGTGCCGATGCACGGCGTGAGGCCGGCGGGGTCGAAGGGCGCGTCGGTGCGGGCCGCGAAGAGCGCGGGCTCCCAGCGTCGGGCGAGCGCCGAGAGGGCCGCCTCGTCGGGCAGAGGGTGGGGCTGCATGTGTGTGTGCGCCACAGAGGCGGGAGCGCGACACGTGGCGCGATGAACACGCGTGGCGAGATCAACGAGGTGATCCAACTCTTGTGGCCTAAAGTCTGGGCAGGTTGTGAGGATCACGATGCCGGCGTGAACACGACTAACTGACGGATCCGCTCCTGACAGTCGCACGCGCCGCGCTGCGGCGCGTGCCACTGTCTTTGTTTGAAGTTAAAAGTCGAATCAGAGCGCCGTCGGCGCTGATCCTCGTTTTCCTCCCACGGACCGCCCGTCCGGGACCGCTCCGGGACGCACGCCGGCGAAGCACCATCAAGCTGCTGTACGGCCCCGGAATCGCCTTCCCAGGCTTAGCTAGACTGAGAGATATTGTGGACATGATTGGTCTCTACAATATTACACTGACACTGAACCTCCAAGAGCTCGTCCCGGTCCGTCACGGGACACGGCCATCCTCGGCCTCCGGAGGGCCCCCGGCCGCGGCGCGGTGCGGCGGCGTCACAAATCCGACCACAGAGCACCGGGACGCGGTCGGGCGATCTGAGGCCCAACTAGGCGTATGCATTGCCCATCCAGGGCTATCACCTGGACTTATCAACAGGCGCCTGCGGCGCCGTGCTCAGGAGCTGCTGCTCCAACCTGTTCACACTTTCGTACGGGACCGTATGTTCTCTCTTTCCGGTTTTGAGAGATGCGTAATCCTCGCTACCCAACGCGGCCAAAGGATATCCACCTCGAGAAAAAAGAAAGAAAAGAAAGAAAACAGACAACCCAAGGGAGGGATGGGAGGACGGCACGCCGCCACCACACAGGGATTTTAAGGAGAGGTGTGTCCTCCTCGAGAACCTCGAGAGAGAGATGCTTAGGCTTTCTCTCTACTCGCGCCTTCCGCTGATGGACTCGCGGCATGCCGGCCGCTGCTGCCTCGCCGTCATCGTCGTGCAAAACGCAACTCTGATCGTCGCCGCCTGCTACAGCCGCGCGCTGCCCGGTCCTCGCTACTTGGGCTCGGTCGCGGTCCTGCTGACAGAGGTGCTCAAAGCGCTGGCGGTCGTCGCGTGCGGCGTCTACTCCTCGGGGAGCGCCGCGCTGCAGGCCGAGCTGCGCACAGTTTGCGCCCGGCCGCCCTTTGTCGCCGCCTTTGCGCTGCCGGCCGCCTGCTACTGCCTGCACAACAATCTGTGGTACGTCGCGGTGACGCACCTGGACCCGGTCACGGTCGCGGTCGGCACGCAGACCAAGGTTGTCTTTGCCGCCCTCTTTGCCGTGCGGCTGCTCGGCAAGCGGCTGGGCAAGGTCCGGTGGGCGGCCATCTCTCTGCTCAGCGCCGGGCTGATGCTGGTCGAGTCGAGCGCGCCCTCCTGGCAGCGGCCGAGCCGCGCGGCGAGCGGCGCTGCGGACGGGGCCGACGGCGGAGTGGATCGCGCCCGCGGCCTGCTCGCCCTCTTCTCCCTCTGCGCGCTGTCGGGCCTCGCAGGCGCGGGGCTAGACACCTCCTAGACTCCTCCTCCCCGCCACCTCCCTGCCGGGCTGGGCTGGGCGTGCGGCGGGTGGCCGCGCACTCTCTGCCGAGGCTCACAGGCGTGTGGCTAGACGTGCGCCTCCTCTTCCCACCTCCAGCCACCCTTCTGTGGCATGGCGATGACGGTCGGGTCAGTGACGGGGCTATCGTCGGTGCCGCGCCTGCAGGCACGCTGATGGAGCTGTTGCTCAAGGACTCTTCGGTCGCCGCCTCGCTCTGGGCGCGCAATATTCTCATGTCCCTCTTCTCCCTCCCCCTCGCCGCCGCCGCCCTCCTCGCCACCGACGCCGCCTCCCTCGCCTCCGGAGCCCTCTTCGTCGGCTTCGGCGCCTGGGCGACCGCGATCGTCTGCCTCGGCGCGGTGGGGGGCGTCGCCGTCTCGATGGCCCTCCGGTGCTCCCGCCGCCGCCGCCGCCGCCGCCGCCGCCGCGCCTCGCGCCCCGCCCCCGTCTCTGAGCCGCGCTGCCGACAGTCCTCCGCTCCGCGCCCGCCAGCTACACAGACAACCTCCTCAAGTCCTTCGCTGTCGGCGTCTCGATCGCCCTCGCTTGCCTCCTGTCGTCGGCGCCACCCGCCCGTGCCGCTCGCAGCGGTCCCCCCGCAGCGCCACCTCACAGCCTGCGGCATGAGAGCAGGTTGCGCTGCGGGTGCAGATTGCTCCCCGCGCCGGCGCCGGCGCCGCTCTGGTGGCGGTGGCGTCCACAGTCTATTACACCGACGGCGATTGCTCGCGCAGCTCGGACCGCGAGGAGGAGGAGGGCTCGTCGCCCCTTCTCTTCCGCCCGCAGCGGGGAGCCACGGTGCTCGAGCGCGTCGGCGTCTTTTCGCAAGATCAGCGCGAGTCGGTGAGAACTTGATCACGGTACTTGACTCTTTTTTCGGTGCGGCTTATCGCGTCGCGTGTGTTGCTGGAGAACATGGTGCTACCTTGCTGCGAGAGTGCCAGTGCGTGTGTCCCACTCATCGTCATCCCACAGGCATCTCGCTTTATCCTATTTAACTACCACCGAAAATAACGTACCTCGAGGTAAGGGCGGTGCGCTCTAGACCTAGAGAAGACGGCATGCGCAAAGAGGAACGGTGCAACCACCTCCCGGGCAACGGCGTCGGCCGTCTCACCTTGTTCTCTCTACAGCCATTCCGGCCTCTCCCCCACGCAACACCCTGTCCACCGCAGTGTTCAGCCCCTCGATGTTGAGGTACGGCCTGCGCCCAAAGACGTGCCTAAGCCAGAGGGCAGGGTAGTGTAGCGGACACGAGCACAACTGCTCTCGCTTATCGGAACTGGGCGCCGAGCGAGCGACCTCGAGGAGGGGGATTCACTACATGGTGCACTCCGCGTCGCTCTCTTTGTGAACTCTTGAAACGCATGCTACGACGGCGACCAGATGTAGGCGTTGCGAGCCTCGTCGGGTTGCACGCACCTTCCGACGAGAGTGGTTGGTTGCGAGTGTGATATCGCGCGATATCACACTGACAAGGTCGCGCGCGCAAGTGTGTGGGCATGACAAGGTCGCGCGCAAGCGAGTGTGAGCGCGCAAGCGAGTGTGAGATCGTGCGCGTGTCGCGCACCAGGCTTGATGATAGCGCCTCGGGAGCTCGTACCACGGCTGGTTTCGAGAGGCGAAGAAAGCCGCTAGGAACCCCTAGAGGCAGGCGGAGGGCGCGTACCGTGCCGTTACGAAAGGATGGGCACAGAGGAGAGTAGAACCTGGTCGCCCCCATCGTACGATTTCGTCGCAGCAGCCTCGCGGCGCATGGCCTGCCAAAGGTGAGGTGGGGTTTCGCCCGATTGTGCGGGTGCGCGACTGGGCCAAAGCAAGCTGCGGGCTAGCGCGGCGCGGGCGGTCGTGGGCCCCGCTGCCTGGTGGACTTCTCGGTCCGGCGAGAGGACGATGATACCAGAGTTGAAGGGGAAGACCCCCTCGCGGCAGGGGTGGTGGCGGTGAGGGCAGGGGCGGCGGCAACGGCGGTGAGGGCAGCGGAGAGACAGGCGCGGGAGGCAGCAACCGGGAGGGATCCACCTTGACAGAGGCGTTGTACCGCACCCGGTCCTGCACGGAATCGGCGGGGGAAGACCCTCAGTTCCGTCGCCACGCAACGCTGGAGAGGAGTGCATCTCTCTCTCAGGGACACCTTGCGTGACGCCGAGTCAAGGCCTCCTGGCTCGGCATAGACCCACGAATAACCATTGCTTCTTCGCTTCGGAGCAAATTTCAGCGCGAGGAAGGCCCACTTTGCGTCCATCGCCGCCGCGGGCGTGCTGATGCCGAATAGGTGATCGATGTTTCTCCTCACTATCACGTCCATGTCGAGCGAGATGACCTTGTCGTACTGCGCAGGAAAATTGCGCGGTGGGTGAGTGGACCCCACAAGAGTCAGATGCGTGGTTATATCCTCCTCGCCTGTGTCAGCGCCCACACGTCAAGCTTCGCGTACGTCTCATTCCGCTTGTGAGCCTAGCCGAGACGTAGCCGGTGTCGGCCGAGGTACAGCCGAGATGGCGTACGCGCAGTCGCGCTTCTGCACCCGCTTGACGCCCTCGGGCAGCGGAGACAGTTGGGCAATCTGCACGCCGAGTTGCCGAAAGGGCGCCAGCTCCGCGTCGGCGAGGCCGTCGCAGAGCAGCACGATGCTGTGCTTCGTACCCGTCTGGACAAGCGAGACGACGGCGCGCAGCAGCTCTCGCGAGGATTGTCGGACGGCCCCTGCTGGCGATGGTGCGGGTGGCAGCCGCAGCACGAATGTATAGGCGTATGAGCCAGCCGGTACTTTGGGCAGTGGCGGGACAGCGGCCGAGTCGAAGCTTGCTGGGCAAAGCTCGGAGCGGCGGCATTCGGTGAAGCACGGTGCACAAGAGCAGCCTACGGGGTCGGAGGGTGCGTGGAAATGGGCTTTTGGCTCGATCCGTGCGCCACCTGTGCAACGACACCGTCACGGGGCGCCAGCCAGCTGCAGAGGAGCCGATACGTCGCACGAAAGTGTGAGTATTGCGTACCAAGGCCGTTCGAGTCAACCGCGCTCACCAACTGCGTTGTTGGGGTGGCATGTGAGCGGCGGCCGCTGCGTGTGCGAGTGTTGTGGCAGAGGTGCGTCGCCACACCGCGCCTGCTCTGGCACGGCGAGGCACCCATGCGCACGAAGCTGCGCGGAGCACGAGGAAAAGGCCGCAGCAGGCGTGGACAGAATGCGAGACAGCACCTCCGGGGGGCATGTGTTGTGTCTCCAGCACTTCATGGTGTCCTCGGGTTGCCAGTTGCCAGCTGCGTTGAGCCCGCACGTTGAGCTGAGGTATTCTCGATACGCATTGGGTGCTGAGAGGTTCGGAGGAGCCAGCCAAAGGTCAGCGTCACCCATGGACTGTATCCGGGACCATCGCCTCTGCGAGCCTCGTGGTTGGTGGGTCGTCCTGGGCGAGGCCGGGTGATTCGGCATTATCTGCAAAGCGGAAAGGGAACCGACTTGCGGCGTGCGGTGGTGCTCGCGGATCGTGCCGGCGGTAGTAGGGGAAACGCAGACGCAGACTGCGGGCGTGGTTGGTGTTGCGAAGTTGCGACAAGTTCGCCTATTGCAATAAGAAAAACGGTTTCGACCCTCACCACTCGCCCCTTGGCCTTGCTGGAGCCTCGTCTTTTGAGTTGTTTTTGTTCGTCTTTTGTCCGAGCAAACGCGCGCCCGATGTGGGCCCGATGCCCCGTTGAGCACGTGACGTGGAGTATCCGAGCGCTGTAATCTAAACTCCCTTATCTATCTTGCTCTCACGCGCGAAGCCCTCGTGAAACTCGCATGCCATCTCGCGACCACCTTGGCACCCTTTGAGCAGGCCTCCAACAACGGATGCCTGCCGGGATTCCTACGCCGATTCTCCTCGTTCGCGCATATGAGAAATGTTGACGAGACGCTGCCCCAAACGAGCAACGTCCAACGCGCAACGGATGGTAGCGCACACCCCCGCGAGGCGCCGTCTCGCAGCCCCTCATTAACGTTCTTGAGTCTTGTCCGGAAACGTAGAGAGTAAAGTGCGACTCGAGGTCTGAGATGTGGAGTGTTCTTAGCCAAAGTCTTAGGAAGATGTGCGACTAATAGGAGCTCATAAATGCGAGCACTATCTGATACTCGCTCGCTACGTAACTGAACACAAAAGGGAAGCGGGCACAGCCTGGGGCGCGACTTCGAGGCGGCAAGCAAGCGACGACGGAGCAGCGGGGCAGGGGTTGGGCGTGGCGCGGCGTCTTTGCCGCCTCACATGAGGCCCGACGCCTTCAAGTTGTCTTCGAGTATTGACGAGACCACCGACTTGAAGACGAGGTCCACGTTCCTGGGTGAAGGTGAGCTCATGTTGGTGCCGGGGCGGGATGTCTCACCAGGGGCGAGGCTCGCACTGTGTGGACGAGCGAGAGCTACGTCTCGGCTATATCACGGGTCTGTGTTGAGGATCTAGGTCCACATGCTTCTTGTCGGTCGCGACGGTGTAGTGCGTGAAGATGGTCTTGCTCTGGTTCTTGCACTTTGCGAGGAACTTTTGGCGGAAGAAGTCGGCGGCGGGCTCGAACTCGTTGTCGCGGTCGCCAAAGTCCTCAAAGTAGTCCGCCACCTGCACGCGCTTCAGCTTCTCCTCGAACAGGTCGCGCTTGTTGAGGAAGAGGATCACCGCGGTGTTGTCGAACCACTTGGAGTTGACAATCTGCGGGCGACGGCCGGCAAGCGTGGAGAAATGGTGGGAGAGTGTGTTGCGAACAGGGATCGGCATCGGTGGGACGGAGTGTGCCAAAAGGGTGGGGCGCGTGCCTGCTCGAAGAGGTTGATGCTCTCCTGCATCCGGTTCTGCGACTCATCCTCGAAGAGGACCTGAAGGGAGGGCGGGAAAGGTGGGTGAGGATGAGAGCGTCGGTGGGGGGAGGGAGAGCGTGAGAGCAAGGAGGCGAGGAGGCAGTGAGACTGCCTGGGAGGGGAGGGGCGGGAGGGGAAGGAGGGAGGGAAGGAGGGAGGAGGGAGACCTGGTCAAACTCGGAGAGCGCAGCGACGAAGATGATGGCGTTGACGCCCTCAAAGGTGTGGATCCACTTTCGGCGCTCGTTGCGCTGGCCGCCCATGTCGTACCTGGCACGCACCAAGACGTTTCGGACCGCGCCCGGGGCGTGCGCGCATCGGGATGGCGGCCCGGGGCTGGTGGCGAGCGCACATGGCAAAGTCGTTGCCGTGCAGACGGAAGTCTGTCCGCACGATGCCGGTCGTGCGGATGCGAGAGCGCAGCACGTCGAGCTCGGTCGGCACGTACCCGTCGGCTGCCATCCGGTCGACGTTGTCGAAGTAGTACTCCGCTGAGTCGCTAAGCTGGTACTCTGCCCTCCGCTCAAACACCTTCCGCGCGGCCGGGTGCGCCCACAAGCGAGCGATGATCTCGCCGAGCTGCGGCGTGAGGTGCTCGTCTCCGCTCGCTGGGTCCGACTCGAAGGCCGTCTGCTCGCGCGCCAGCTCCTCGGGCATCGCGATCCCGAGTCTCTCAAAGCCCTCGAAGACGGAACGCGCCGAGAGGATCGCGTTGGAGTGGACCACCTTTGCAAAGTCGGCGCGCTCGCCCTCCGAGTAGCCACCCTTGTGCAGAACCTTCATTTGCTTGAGAAGCGTCGACTTGCCGCTCTCGCCGGCGCCGAGGACCAGCAGCTTGACCGTCTTCGCCTCTTTGTCGCTCTCCTGCTTGGTCGACCGCTTTGTGGACCGTGCGCCGCCACTCGGCTGGGCGGTGGCGCGCCCCGAGCGCTCAGCGGGGTCGGTGGACTCCGGCTTGGACTCAGTGCAGCCCATTCGAGCGCAAGCTTTCCAGAGGGATGCGTAAGCCGCTGGCAAAATGTCGAGCGTGAGAGACGCTTCAGCTGGGCGCCTCTTGCTCTTGTTTAGCGATTTCTTATTACCAGGTACCAGCAATCTGCTCTCGCGCGAGTTTCTCTTTCTTGGTCCTGCAGCCTCCCTGCCGATGTGGCTAGCCGGGTCACACTCGGGCTACGGGCTTTGGAGGTCGTCGGGCGGGAAGGCGGGAGGGACGGAGGGTGGAGGGTGGATGCCCCAATGAAGAAAAGGCTAGAGGCTAGGCTTTATAGAGCCGGCTGCTGGCCGGACATCTGAGTCCCCTGCGGGCTGCGGCCCCGCCCGAGGCTCTTCCGGGCGTGCAGGTCGACAAACACATCTCTCTCTCAGGTCGAGGTCTCGTGCGTCAACAGGACGGGACCGTGAGTCCGAGAGAGAGATTTTTTACCAAACAACTCTAACACTCACACGTAATTTGGGGCCTGGAGCCCTGTTCACGCGCGCGCGAGACGTGCAGTTGTTTGTTTTGAGTCCGTGACGATGACACCCCGTCGTTCGTCTGTCGGTCGGTCGTCGCGCTGGATGGATGGAGCAGGCGCACATATCGAACGTACATCGCTTCCAGGGACCCCATAGCGTGTGCCTGCTCATTTTCATTCACTACACGCAACGCGTTTGCACATTCCCGGACCCCGGACGGTAGGCGAGGGCTTTTACTCTCGCGAAAAACTAACTTTGGAGGTTCAGAACACGCCCGCCCGGATCGCGCTCTCGCGGCCCTAAAGGAAGTGTCGCGCCGCGCCCGCCGGGACGCGCGGGTGCCATAAGCTAGCCCTGGTTTGTGACCGAGCGGCGATCGCCATGAGCGAAGTACTGGAAGTGAATCCCTGCCCCATGACCCCCGTGCTGTCAATTGCCGACGGAGCGTTGGAAGGGTCGTCCTCAGATCACAAGTCAATCGTCCCACTCAACGCTGAGGCGTGCGCTTCGATCCGGCAGCAGCTCCACATCGTCCAGAAGGCCAACCGCAACTCCTCCCTCATGGGCGAGGCGCTTCTGGATGTCGAGCCGCGCCAGGTGGACCGCAGCCGCCGCTGACGCCCTCCCACGAGCATGACCGAATGCCCTGCAACAAGATTGCTGCCGCCACTCTCCTCGTGCTGCCCGCCCGCCGCCGCCGCGGCCCGTCTAGCAGTGCTTCGCACCGGCTGCCCACGCCACCGTGCACTGCCCACCCCCCGCCGCGCTAGGTTGCCCGCGCGGGGATGAGTGAGGCGCTCCTTGGGCTCGTGGCGCAGCTCGAGGGCCTCATGACGCAGCTGGAGGGCGCGGATGGGTCAAACCCGTTCCTGGCCGCGAAGGCCATCGAGACCCAGCTGCTCTGGTTCCTCGTCGCGCAGCTCGAGCGGGGAGATGCCGTGAGTGCAGCAAAGGTGGGCGCGCCTCGCCGCAGCCGCCTCCCTGCCAGACTCCTCCCTGCAGCCTCGCACTCCACAACTGCCTTTGTCTGCACGCGCTGCATGTCACTCCACTGCGATGCTCGACGCCGCTCTCACGGCCGCTCTCCTTGCGGTTGCTAACGAAAACCCGCCCTCCCCCCCTAACCCTGCGGCAAAGGCGGCGGGCGTGCTAGCCAACCTGGCCTCGGAGCATGACGACACGTGCGTAGACATTGCGGAGGCGGGGGCGGTCGGCCCGCTGGTGGCTCTGCTCGGCAGCGAAAGCGAAGACGGAAAGGTGCACGCTGCACGCACGCTCAGCGGGATCGCGTTTCACGACGACTATGTCGAGTCCATCGTCGAGGCTGGCGCGATCGCTCCCTTGCTCGAACTGCTCGGCAGCGAGAGCCAGGAAGCGAAGGAGGACGCAGCTAAGACGCTGGCCTTCCTCGCGGCCGGCGACTCCGAGAATGCGGCCGCTATCGTTGAGGCCGGTGCGATCGTGCCGCTCACTGCGCTGCTGGTCAACGGCACCGAGGCGGGCAAGGGTTTTGCTGCCAAGGCGCTCGGCACCGTGGCTGTCCACCACTCTGCGGCCAACGCGTCCCTCGCCGCGGCGGGCGCGATCGAGCCGCTCGTCGCGCAGCTGACAGCGAGGCTGACCGACGGCAGCGAGACCGACAAGGAGTGGGCGGCTGTGACGCTGGGCAATATCTCCTCGGACAGTGCAGTGGCTAACGAGGTTGCGATTGCTGCGGTCGGCGCTATCACACCGATCGTGCGCCTGTTCAGCGGCGGGAGCGAGAAGTGCAAGGAAGAGGCCGCGGTGACGCTGGGCAACATAACCTACCGCAGCCGCACCAACCAGGCGGCCGTCGCCGCGGCTGGCGCCATGGCCCCGCTCGTGGCCCTGATGAGCGACGGTAGCGAGGTTGGAAAGGAATGGGCCGCGTTTGCTTTGGGCAACCTCGTCGCGGACAACGCAGCGAATGCGGTGGCGGTGGCCAAGGCGGGAGCCCTGCCGCCGCTTGTGGGCCTCCTCGAGGACGGAAGCGAGGATGGTAAGAAGGAGGCCAAGTTCCTCCTGCGCCACCTCGCCGACGACAGCGCCGCGAGCGAGGTGACTTCCAACGCGGTGGCTCTCGCAGACGCGGGCGCCATCTCGCCGCTCGTCCACCTCCTGAAGAGTGGGAGCCACCTGACAAAGAAGCAGGCCGCAAAGATGGTCCTCAGCATGTCGAAGGAGCCGGCGGTGCGCCTGGAGGTGGCCAGAGCCGGTGCGCTGCCCCCGCTCCAGGCGCTTCAACGATGTGATGACGATGGCGCGCAGAGGGCGGCGTCGGCAGCTCTGCTCTACCTGAAGCGTAAGACTACGAGCGGCGGTGCGAGTGCCGCTCCGGAGGAGGATGCCACGGCAAAGCAACGGCGGCTTGCGGCGGCAGAGGAGGCGGCCGAGGCGGCAGCGAAGGAGCTGCTCGCACTAGTGGACGAGGAGAAGAGCAAGGCGCCGTTTCCTAGAACGCTGCACAACCGAGAGCCCGCCTGTCACTGGGCGGGGAGCGCCGGTCCGTAGTATGCCCCGATTGCGCAGCAAGCGCAGCCAGAATCGCTGGCTACACTCGGCTGTCTCGCTAACTGCCTGCCCGACTCTCATATTAGGCGCCCAAGAAGAGCAAGGACAAGGCCAAGCGAGACAAGCAGCGGCAGAGGTCGGGCACGAAGAAGCGAGGGCAGGCGCGAGAGGCCAAGCCGGCCGAGCCGGCGGTGAGTAGCGCCAGCTCTCTCTCGGACCAGGTCGAGGCGGGCGGCACCGCCTCCGACGCCATGGATTCGGAGGATGACGAGTCGGAAGAGCTGAGCGCAGAGAGGGCGTTGGCGCTCTCTCGTGAGCGGGCGCGCGAGGCTGAGAGAGCAGCGGCGGAGCGTCAGCGGATTGAGGCGGAGCGGGCGGCTGCGGAGCGGGCGGCGCGCCGAGAGGCGGCCGCCGAGGCGGAGAGGACGGCAAGGAGGGCGGAGAGGGTCAAAGCGGAGACAGCGGCGGCGGCAGAGCGCGCGGCTCGCAAGGAGGCGGCGGCGGCGGCCTCGGTCGAGCGCGAGAGACGCCGCTCATCTCCTCCTGCCCCCGCCCCATCATCCGCTCCTGTTGCCGCTCCTGTCGCCGCCCCTGTCGCCGCTCCCGTCGCTGCCCCGCCGGCCGCCCCGCCCACTGCATCTCTGGCCGCGCCACTCCCCGCGCCTCCCGCCGCGCCAGCTCCATCTGCAGAGGAAGAGCGCGCGGCGCGCGAGGAGGGTGAGCGGGCGCGGATCGTCGCGGCGATCGAGGATGCGCTGCGGAATGTGCCGGTGCCTGCGAGGCCGCGCGAGGTGCTGCCGCCGCCGCCTTCGCCGCCGCCCCCCGTGGGGCTGCCGCCGCCCTTGTGTTGGCCCACTCCGCGGGGGCCCCCTCCAGGGACGGTGAGCCCGCACACGATCGAGCCGCTTTGCTGGCCCACAAGGAGGGGGGGCTCGTCGTCCTCGGGCACCCCCAGCCCGACCGAGGTGGAGCAGCTGCGCTGGGGCCATACTCCCTGGACGCAGGGAGACGTTTGGTCTTCGGACCCCGCAGCCGTGCTTGCCATAGACCTAGCCGAGGCCTCGCCGCAACAGCAGCCTCCGGCACCGCCTGTTTCCCCGAACGACGAGACGCTCCCCGACAAAGTTCAACGCATACAACATCTGGTCGGAGTGCCCTCGGGCTCCATCGCCGATGTACTGCGAGCCTCCCACGCGGCCCTCGGCCTCGAGCCGGAAGGAGGGTACATCCAGCAGGCGGAGCGGTTGCTCAAGCTCCTTTGAGCAGTGTCGCCCCGCTGCTGACCTAGGGCGGGTGGGCGTAGCTGCATGGCCCGTCGATCCGCGTCGAGCTCCTCCGGCCTCCCGCCCCTCCACGTCGTGTCGTCGGCGCGCTCGCGCTGACGACTTGGTGGCAACCTCCTTATGCGTGTGACCGCGGCCTGCGGCTGCGCGGCGCTCCCGTCATGGGCCGCTGCCGAGCTAGACCCTCTACTTGCGTTCACCACACACATGCGCACACTACTGCTGGTCACGAGCTAGCGCATCGAGCTAGCGCACGGGTGTGTGGTGTCGACGATGCGTGTGCGCGGTGTGTGGCCCGTGGTCTATATGGCCGCTTCTTGGGACTTGGGGCGTTGTCGTGGACGATGAAAGGCGACAGCGGCTTCGCACTTTCATCGGCGACGTGCGAGTTCGTGCTTGCGTCCCAGAGTGCCCTCGCGCAGAACCAACGCAGCTCTCACAACTCATCAGCACTCCGTTCTCGTAACTCCCATCCGGCCGCAATCGGCCCTCAGTGCCGGCCGCGGGACCGGGAATGGCCGCGACGCTGACGGCCCGGAGGAGGAGAGACCTGCACTGCTCAGGACACTCGGCATGCGAGTCTGCGAGACTCACTCACACCGGACGCATGCGGGTGGCTTGCAGCGGGCGGCACAATGCGCGCGCTGACGGAAGATGAGATCTGGCACGACCCGTGGGAAGAAGCAGCTGCTGAAGGTGCCGTGCGGCGGTGGATCGAGGAGAAGAAGCATCGGTCGTCAACTACACTACGCATAACCAGCACATCCTCCGCAATCCCTCTCTCCTCTTTCCAATGGCAGCTTCTCGCACGGCGCAAATGCCCGACAGCTTGCTCGGATGGGGACAGCGGACTGGCTGCCGTCTTGGACGTGTGAGGCAGCCCTTACGCATGTATGACGTTATAATTTTGCTGAAAACCTCAACCTTCACATGTGGCGACGCTCCCGACTGACCCCCCATCACATTCTCGTTTGCTTGCCTTCTCTCTCGGCACACATGTCGGCACTCTTATCACTTTCAGCACAATCATTGCAGTTGTCCTGTACTCCTAGAGCAGTGTCGAGCTCTCGAGTCTCGAGCACGCCAAAACTCTAAGTGCCTGGTGCGCACTGTGAGCGCAGCGCTCTTCAGCTCAGGCACAGACGTGGTGGTGTTTGTGGAGCCGCACGAGCAGCGCGGCCTGCACCGTCCTGGACGGCATTTCCAGGCATCTAAGTGATGACCACCATCTCCGGCCAGCCGGCTCGATCAGGTTGTGAGGGTGGCAGATTGTGAGAGTCCTGTCCTTTCCCTGAGCGCCATGAGTTCAGAGTGCACGCATTGCGCCAGCCTTCCCACGTGCGCAAAAGGACTGAGGTTGACCGTACCCCGCTCCGTTCATAATGGTGTACCCGCGGAATCCCTGCTCGTGAGCGGGGTTTTCACTGCTCTGGTACTTGTTTTGCGCCTGCGCTCGAGCCCCTGCGAGGTACGGAGGCACGCCATGAGCAGCATTCAGAGCACAATGCGCACGTGCACGAGGGGAGCGTCAGGGGCAGGGGTGTCCGTGCCTGTAGCGCGAGGCATCCCGAACAGCAGAGCTCCATCATGCCACCTTGAAAGAGCTTGTAGATTGCGCCTTGCTGCTGGAACGCGTGCTGCACCTCAAAGAACTTGGCGCTCTTTGCGGACGTTGAGCGTGAGTGCCATCGGCGACTCGCCTGGGGCCGGCATGTCCCTGAATCTATCGGCGCCCGGCTCGGACCGCTTCTGGGACCCTCCCAGCCACGCTGGACGGCCCTGCGGCACGTCTTGCCCGGGCCTGAACCGAGTGGATGGATGGTTCAGATTCGCGGCGAGGGCTGTGAGGTTCTGATGAGTTGTGAGTTCCGCCGTTCTGTACATTCCTATTCGTTTTCTTGCACCCCCCGCCCCCCCCCGCCATCCGCAGACTATCAGCGCCGGTGTGTGTGGTCGCACAACGATGGCCGACAACGTCGACGACTTCGTCGCCGGCTGGGTCTCTGGCGCGGTGGCCACGCTCGCGACGCAGCCATTTGACATGGCTGTCACGCGGATGCAGGCGACGACGCACCAGCCAGGACCCACCCTGGCGTCCCTCCGCTCGCTCATGCGGCTTGACGGTGCCTCGCTCGGCGCGGCCTGGCGCGGGGTCGGACCGCTCCTGCTGGGCACGCCGTTCAACAACGCCCTCATCTTTGTTGGGTACGGCTCGGGCAAGCGCTTCTCCGAGACCGGAGACGAGACGCCAAACTCGCTGTTGCCCGTCTTCATCGGAGGCTGCGTCGGCGGCTTCGCCCAGTCCTTCCTCGCCTCGCCCGTCGAGCTCATCAAGGTCAGACTACAGCTCGCAGAGCCAGGCGGCGGCGGTGGCGGCGGGCGGGGCCTCGCCGCTGCGGGCGCGCTGGTCAAAGAACTCGCGGCGGCGGGCCACTCGCACACGCTGCCGCCGCTCCTGTCTCAGGGCCTCGCTGCCACCATCGCGCGCGACGTGGTGCCGCACGGCGTTTGGTTCGCATCGTATGAGGTGGCGAATCCAGCAACGCCAGCCCAGGCCCTCGCGCCAAGCCTGGCGCGCCGACACCGGCTCCCACCTCCTCTCGCCCTCAGGTTGCAAAGACGGCGCTCGCGCCGCCGCGACCGATAGCCGCCTCTGCCGAGGCGCGGCGCCTCCCAGACACCTCCCCGACACCTGCCACGCCTCCCTCCCCTCCCACCCCTCCTTCCCCGTCGCCTCCACCCCCTTTCGACTCCTGCTCGCCTCCCCGCGCCGCCCAGGCACCAGACCCGCAGGCACCAGACCCGCCCCTCAGCACCGGCCGGCAGCTCGCCGCCGGCGCAAGCGCGGCGGTGGACGCGTTGGGGCGGCCTGGGCAGTGTCCTGGACACGTCCGCGACACGTCCGCGACGTGTCCTGTAGGTGGCGGCGTGGGCCGTCGGCTACCCCTTCGACATCGTCAAGACGCGCTGCCAGGCGGACTTCCGAACTTCTACCCACTCCCTTCTACCCACTCCTCTCCCCCCTCCTCTCCCCCCTCCTCTCCCCCCTCCTCTCCCCCCTCCCCCCCCTCGTCTCCCAGCCAGCGCAGACGAGGGTCGTTTGCCGCCGCCCGACGCAGGCGTGGCGGCCGTCGCCCCCTCACCCCCCCTTCACACCGCCGTGCAGCTCTTCCAAGCTTCGCACACACAACCACCCGCACCAGTCACGTCCTCCTCCTTGCCAACGCCCCGACGCACCTCCTCGCCTGTCGACACACGCGGGCATCGCCGCCACACGCGCCGTCCAGGCGAGCTCCTCGTCCGAAGGCTTCCTCGCGGCGACGCGGCAGCGAGCTCGCGCGAGGGCCGCCTCGCCGCCCACACGCCCTTTACGCGTCCACGGCGGCGTCTCCCCTCAGGCAGCTCTGGCGCGAGGGGGGCGTCGCCGCGATGTACTCTGGCTTCGGGCTCAAGATGTGCCGCGCGGTGCCGATGAGCGCCATCGGCTTCTTGGCGAGACGTAGCCGAGATCACGCCGAGACCTCGGCCAGATCTGCCGAAATCGCCGAGACCCAACCGATATGTAGCCGAGATCAAACTGCTGGTGCCAAAGAGCGCTGCCAGCGCTGTGGCGAGAGACCGCCCCTCACGCCGCCGCCCCCTCACCCCTCGGCCCCGGCACCGCCCCACGCCTCCCCTCCGCCATCCAGACACACCCCTCGCTGCTCTCGACCCCTGCCCCTCCCGCTGCCACGCAGGTGTACGAGCATGTCTATGCCACGTGCCGCAGATTGCGCGGCGCCGACGGCGAGTGACGACGTGCCGGCGGGGCATAACAATGGGTGGGATGGCAGCTGTCGTGCCACTGCCGTCCCAAACTTGCGCGTGTGTGTCGGCGCACGGGGGGCCTCCGCGCCCGCCGCAGACGCGGGCCCGGGGTGCACATCGGGGACGAGCACCGGGGAGGGCGATTCGGGAGTCGGACCATGATAACAATGGGGTGAGCCTTTGCCACACACAGGTCACAGCCTTTCAGAAGCCCCGTGTGTCTTTAGTCTCTGTGTGCAGCCGGTGCGATCGTGGGGCCACGGGGCGTTGGGCGCTTGAGCCCGCCTCTCTCACTAGCTCTGCACGTCGACACGAGGGTTGCGGATGCGGTGTTGGTCTTCGCTCCAGATAATGTAAATAACCTCTACACTTCGGTCCCGCGACTTTAAGCGCCGTAAATACTGTCGCTAGACGCTTAGCACCAATTTGAATTTCACCAAAAACGACGAAAAGGTCTCGCGAAGCCAAAACGAGCTGAAAGCGCCCCGCCGACGAGGCCGCACATATCTCTCTAAGGTTCATGTGCATGTGAGCAGACCACTGCGGATAGAGAACCCACTTCTCGGTCGTGGATTTCAACGCTGTTCATGGCGCTACTCACCTCGCCCTCGGGCGGCTCTGCTGGTGCTGCCGGCGAGGCTCCGTGCTCCGTCTCTCCCGGCGCATCTCCCGGCGCGTCAAGCCAGCGCGCGAGTCGCTGCCGCGCGGACCAGAGCGGCAGCGGCTCCGCGAGGGCGAACCGCCCCGCGTCGCGCTGCTCCTCCGGCGTCGACGAGCGGAGCACATGCCGCACGGTGAGCGAGACGCGGCGCTGGCGCGGCAGGCCCTTCGCCGCGCAATCCACCGCGCAGCCCGCCGCGCAGCCCGGACGGCGGCCGCCATGCACCCGCGCCGCGGCGCCCTCCGCGCGCAGCCCTCCCTCCGCCTCGCCCTCCTCCCTGCCACGCGCGCCGCCCTCGCCCCCCGCCGCCGCCTCTGCGCCGCGAGCCTCCCCGGCGGCGGCCGACACGGCAGCGCTCTCCTCGCCCCGCCCGCTGCCGCCGCCGCCGCCGTATCCCTCCTCGCCGCCGCCGCACTGCTCTCCGCCGCCGCCGCCTCGCTCCTCCCCGCTGCACGCGCCCGCCCGGCCCGGAAGGTCGAGGCGGACGAGGCTTGGGCGCGCGGCGTCATCGTGCGTGGCTTGCGGCACGGTGTGCAGCAGGTCGGTGTAGGCCTGGTGCGGGGGGGGGGAGCGGCGGGTGTGCCACGCCCAGGGGACTAGGCGACTAGGCGACTTAGGGGGTGGGGGGGGTGGGGGGGGTGGTGGGGTGGGGTGGGGGGGAGAGGCGGGGAGGAGAGAGGGTGGCGGGGAGAGGGGTGGGGGAAGAGGGGGAGGGGCAGAGGGGGGGGGGGCAGAGGGGGAGGGGCAGAGGGAGGAAGGCGCCTCGTCACGGAACAGCAGCAGGCCGCGCGGAGGCAGCAGCAGCGCCGCACGCTCCGCGCGAGCGACGGAGTCCTCCAGGAAGAGGAAGGAGGCGCCTGGTTTCACAGCTCGGCCTGTGAAGAGACGCCGTACGCAGCGCCGGGTCGGCGGGCGTGAGGAGGGGGCGGCGCGCGGCTGCTGAGCGAGAGGATGGCGACGCGCGGCGCGTAGAGAGGCCCGTCCTTGTGCGGGTCGATGCCTTGCCCCGGCCGGTACTCGTTGAGCAGCACGTGGTTCGGAGGCTGTGGCAGGGAGGGGAGTGGCGGTGAGGGGAGGCGGTGAGGGGAGTGGCGGTGAAGGGAGTGGTGGTGAGCAAGGGCAGCGGAGAGCGGAGAGGCAAGGAGAGGGACAAGAAGTGAGGCGAGAGGCAAAGAGAGGGGCGAGAGGCACGGGGAGGGGGAAGAAGAGATGCGAGCGGCAGCTGAAAGAAAGAGGAGAGAGGCAGTGGGAGGCAGCGAGAGAGGAGCACCTGATCATGAGGAAAGACGCCGCACCGCACGAGCTCGTCGCACACGGACTGGACCCACGACGGAAGCGGCTCGCGCGTCATCCCGCCGTCACTGCTGCTGGGGGTCCCACCCAAGCTCTGCAGCCGCCGCCCACGCAGCTGCGTCCAGCGGTGGGCTGGTGCGCCATCGGTGCAACGGAGCATAGCCTCCTCCTCCTCCGCGCTGCACCACTCTGCGATGTGCGCGATCCCACGCACGCCGCAGTCCACTGCGTGCGCCTCGGCATCATACTCGGGCCGATCGTTCCGACTCGGAAGCGCCCAATCGACATCAGTCTGCGGCAGTGGTGGCGGTGGGCTGCGAGGCTCGGACAGGAGGGCCGCCGCCGCCGCTGGTGGCGGCGCGTGGCGCTCACGCGCTCTTAGCCGTTCCTCGCGCAACAGCATCTTGAAATCGATCGCCATGCGGTTTGGTGGCCACCCTCCGTGCCTCCTGGCCGACCAGAAGAAACACGATCGTCGGTGCTCCGACATCCGTCTCCGAAGCGACGCAGGGCGTTTTATGTATGAAAAAGAGGACAGCCGCACCCTGCAGCCTGCAGGGTCTGGGCTGCTCACGTGCTCAGAATCTGAGGCTCAGTAGACAGTAGCCTCGGGTCGCGCTCGCTGCAAAAATCGAGGCGCCGCATCTGCTCCGATATTTCCATAAACAACCACCTTCGCTTAATGAGATTGGAAGCCCCTCTACGCAAGCAGGCGCAGCATCCATCCCCAGCGCGCGCGGGGGCAATATCTGCTTGGCGGGACTGGCATGCGTGACGGCGAACACAGGACGAAAATGTGCACAGGTAACGTAAGGTTGCAGATTTCGCTGCAGGTGGGCGCGAATGGGCGCGCGTGTGCGCGCGCGTGCGCGCGCGTGCACGCACGCGTGCCCCGCCGCGGCCGTCGCGCCCCTGCAGCGGGCCTGCGCCGCCCACAGTGCGCTCACCCAGCGATCCGTTTTTGCGCGGACCATCGCGTGTCTCAGGCACTCACTCCATCTTCGCCTTGGAGTAGAGCAGCGAGTCGTTGCCCACGTCCATGTTGAACATCGCGAGGACAGCAAACCAGCCGACCACGACGAGGCCCAGCGACGACCACAGGATGATGTGGAACATGCCGACGCCCTCGGGCGGCGGTCCGCGCGACTGTCGGCGACGGGCGCGATGCGGGGTTGGGCACAGAGGCCCGGCGGCGCCGCGCAACGCGGGGGGCAGAGAGGGACACGGGCTGCTGCGCACCGCAGCGTCGCCGCCAGCGTCCAGCAGCACGCGCCGCGCCGAAGTAGACTCGCCCAGCGGCCCGGCGGGCCAGTCGCTGCCGATCTGCACGCTGGCGCTGGCGAGCGAGCAAAGCGCGCTTAGCAAGGCTACGACCCAGCGGGACCCCATCTGTGTACCGCCGCCCAGCAACGCGAAAAAGAAGGAAAACATCTTTTGTATTCTTTTTGCTTGGGGCGGACAGCAAGTCGGGGGTAGGGTAGGTTTGGGTTTTTTTGTTGGGTTTTTCCCTTTCTTCAAGCTGGAATTTTCACAGCAAAAAAAAGAAATTTTCCGCGGAAATCACGATGTCAACCTTCCCCAAATGGGTGATCTGATGCTTGTAGGGCTTGAGAGTGGCCTGCCATGTCACAAGAAGGATTGTGGTTGCAGGAGAGTATCACCAACCATCACTCTAGTTGGTATAGTACCCCACCTTCACCAGGCCCGTGATTTCTTTTTTAGTTTCCCATAAGTAAGGTAGGTAGGTAGGTAGGTAGGTAGGGGCACCGCAGGGGCCGGTCAGGTTTTTCCAGAATTTCAGCATGCTGTCCGCCCCAAGCAAAAAGAATACACACCTGGAAAACAAGCCCTTTCCCCCTGGCACTAACACAGAGCGGCGGCGTCGCAGAACGAGGCAGAGGAGAGCGACGCGACAGAGGAAGAAGCGACAAGGGAGAGCACGACGAGAAGGGGGCGACCGCGAGGTGGCACGAAGGTCGCAGCGAGAATCGGAGAGAGACTGCGAAGAGAGATAGGAAGAGGCGGACGCCCAAGGGTGGGCGACGGCTAGTGCACCTCACCCCTCTCCTTAAAATCCCTGTGTGGTGGCGGCGTGCCGTCCTCCCATCCCTCCCTTGGGTTGTCCGTTTTCTTTCTTTTTACTAACACAGAGCAAAGAGCGAAGAGCAAAGAGCGAAAAAGAAATTTCGCGAGCGTGCGCGCTTCAGTGCTCGGGCGCGCTCACACACACACACACACACACACACACACACACACACACACACACACACACACACTCACACACACACACACACACACACACACACACACACACACACACACACACACATGCACACACAACATGCACACACACACATACACAGACACACAGCCCCTTCCCCTTCCCTCTCAAGACCGCAAGGGCGAGGACACGCGTAGGCCGCACCACTAGCGAAGCCCACAGAGTGGGAGACTCCTATCACCGCCTCTGCCACCCACGGCGTGAGCCTTGGCCGCCTCTGTCAGTGTGCCCGTGATAGTGAGAGACTGCTGGTGCGAGAAGCCGGAGGAAGGTCGCTAGTCGAGAGAGATCGCCAGTGGAATAGGGAGTCCACCGTGCTGCGAGCCTGTCGCTGTCCCTTGTCAGGAGCAGGAGAACTAGGAGAGCGCAACCAGTAGGAGGCCCGCGCCTGCCCCCGTGCCGCCGGGTGCAACTTTGTCCTATATACGAGAGGGGAATCCCTGCGCTGGGACCCTGTCGTGTGTGGGTGAACCCTGCCCAGCCCCCCTCCGTGTCGCGATGCGCTCCCCGCTCCCGTTCCCCTGTGTCCCTGATCGTCCTTACAAGATCCTGCTCGCGCAGGTGGGGACCCTGTCCTTCTCTCCCACCCCGCTCTTGTTTGGTGTGTCCGTTTTATTTATTTATCCCCCCATGGTGGCGGCGTGCCGTCGCTCCCATCCCTCCCTTGGGTTGTCTGTTTTCTTTCTTTCTTTCTTCCCCATCCCTCCCTTGGGTTGTCTGTTTTCTTTCTTTCTTTTTTCCACTTCTTAGCTCCCCGCGGCGCCCTTGGATGTGAGGCTGATGACCGCACTCCAAGTGCTCCAAGGCTGCTACAAACACCGGCCGATTGAACGCACTGTCCTCAGCCACAGCCGCTCGTCGCGTTCGATTTCCAACGACACGATGCACTCGTGCGCTGGCAGCGAGACCATCGGCAAGCCGTCGACGCTCAGCGCCGAATCCCACCCCAGCAGACGCATCTGGATGCGCCGCGCCAAGCCGTGCGGCGCCCCGAGCCCGCTCGTGGGCGCGTGCGGAGAACTGCCGGGGCGAGGCATGGCGTCTCGCACAAAGAACTGCATGGCCGTCGGGTCTGCGTGCTGCAGGAGCTGGCCATTGGCGGCGGTCACCACCTCAGCGAGTGAGACGCCGCCGCCGCCAACACCGCCGCCGCCAACACCGCCGCCGCCGCCAACACCACCACCACCAACACCGCCGCCGCCGCCGCCGAGCTCCGCGGCGGCCTGCAGCACTGCGGCCGCCTGCTGCTCGCGCACCGACCACGCGTTTTGCATCCATGCGGACGCGCCGCGCTGCGTGCTGATGAGCGCGCCCGAGGAGCGCCACTGGCGCCACGGTCCGCCATCGACCGAAATCTCGAGGTCGAGCGGCCGCGCCGGGCAGGCCTCGCAGACGAAGCACTCGTTGAGCGCGTGCTGCGTCGCGAAGGCCGCGGCGGCGCCGTCGCCGCCCGTGACCGACACGCGCAGCCGCGGCACCAGCAGCGGCTCGTACTCGGCCGCCGCGATCCGCGCCGCGAATGCGCGCGAGGCGGTGGCGAGGTCCGCCGGGTCGAGTGCGACCGCGCACCACTTCCCGACGGACCGCTGCGGGTCGGTGTTGACGCCAACGATGAGCGCGTCGCGCGGCATCGGCGCCGCCGCCGCCGCGCGGAGCATGGTGCCGTCGCCGCCGAGCGCCAGACACACGTCGGCCCACTGCATCGCGGCACCCGCCGACGGCAGCGCGGCGCGCGCGTCAAGGGCGCGCACCGCCAGGCCCGCCTCGCTGAGCGCCTCGACGACGGAGGCCACCGCGCGCTCGTGGACGTCGCACGCCGACCGCAGCGCCGCACGCGTCCGCTCGGGGAGGCGAGCCTCGTCCGCCTCGGACATCAGCCGCCACCGGGCGGTCTTCACGAGCAGGAGCGCCCGCCTCGCGCCGCGCGGCGACGGCACGGCCGAGGGCGGGCGGTCGCCGCTGCCGCTGTCCGCCGCCGCCGCGAGCGTGCGCACGCCCTCGAGCGGCGTGTCGCCGCTGCAGCTGAGCCCCTGCTCCGGGTCGCCCGCCAGGCGCACGGCATCGGAGCCGCCGCCGCTCGCGTCATCGTTGACGATGCGTGGGTGCGCGTTGACGGCGCGCAGCATCTCCTCGTTGCTGAGGAGCGTCGAGCCGCGATCGAGCCGCCGCCACCCCGTGTAGGACGCTGAGGGGTCCCAGGGGCAGAGGGAGCGCATGAAGCGAAAGTCATTCTCGAGGGCGCCCGTCTCTGGATCACGCCGCGAGTAGGTGATCACCTGTCCGCGAGGCTCCGGATACTGAAGGCCCGTGGCTAGCCGAGGTAGCCGAGAGGTAGCCGAGATGTAGGAAATAGCCTAGATACAGACCTGGCAGTTGTTGATGCGCTCGCCCGGTCGCGGGTCAGCCTGCATCTCTCGGTACACCAAGCCGCTAAACCGCTCCAGCCGCAGCCGAAAGGCCCACATCAGCTCGCCGTGGCACACGAATATGACGCGCTGGCCGCCAAAGCGCCGGTTGCAGTAGAGCAGGACATTGTCGATCCGCTGGACAACCTGCGCGAGCGACTCGCCGCCCGGTGGCGCCCAGAACAGGCTCTCGCGCCGCCGCCTCGCCTCGTACTGCTCGAACGCATTGCGCCGCTCCTCCTGTGACGCGAGGTCGTACTCTCCCCAATCGCGCTCGCGCAGCATCACCTCGGGCCGCCAGCGAGCACTGGGCAGCTCGAGCAGCGCCGCCGTCTCCATCGCGCGCAGGTATTCCGACGAGAAGTGTGCGTCGAAGTTGACGTCCATGTGGGCTCTCATCCACTCGCCCGTTGCAGCCGCTTGTTCTCGGCCGCGATCAGACAGCCGCCAGAAGGAGGAGTGCCGCTCGAGAAACGCACCAGAGTAGAGCGAGTGATCACCAGCGACCGAGCGGTTGAAGGCGATGTTGCCCTCAGACTCGCCGTGCCGCACCAGTACAAACTCCTCCATGCGTGGCCGCGTCAGCGATTGCGCGGCCTTGTACGCGAAGCCACGCGCGGCGCTCGGGCGCCTCAGCGAGGGCCGCATGGACGAGAGCACGCGGCGGCTGCTATGGCCAGCATCGACCAGCCGCCACAAGCAGAGCCCCGCCCAGTCAGAAAAGAATCTTACAACCCACTCCCTCGCACAACACTGGGCACGGGACTGGCGCGCACTGGCACGAACACAGGTACACCACGGGAGCCGCCTAAGCGACTCCTGCGAGGGTGGCGAGGCACTTAGCTCCGTGCACAGAAAAGAATTTTTCCGGCCACGATGCCACCCTCTAGGCATGAGACGAGCGAGGGCAGCCTCCTTAAAGGCGAAAGGGTCTAGATTTGGAGCGCTCGCCGAAGAGGAGTACGACAAAATAGCGCCCGTGATTGCCTGCACGCTACCCGCACTCACGGACTCCATACCCGAAAGAAAGAGAAGGGAGCTCGCGGGAGAGGTGACGAGTGAACTGAGGTTCCTCTCTCCGTACTCAAGGAGTGCATCCGAGTCGCACGCCGTGATTGCTTCGAGGATGTTCAGACTGTCTTCCTGATCATTACGCTCACGAATACGTTCTCTCGCTCCGAATCGGGGCTCCCGAAGACGTACGGGGGGCGCGAGCAGTTCGATCCCAAGGACCATTGGGGCGTTCGGGACTTTGATGTCTCGTTCGTCGACGGGTTGAGGGGCATGTGGGTGCGCTTCCGGAAGATCAAGCAGGATCAGCTGCAGGAGCGCCCCGAGGCGAGGGAAGGGGCCGACTGGTCGTTTGTTGGCGACGTCCCCGACCCAGAGTACAGCATCGTCACGTGGTTTGTTCGGCTGATGCAGTTCCACATCCGGCGGCCCCACACGCCCGGCCAGCCACGCCCGCCGACCGAGTGTTTCTTCCTCGAGGACCTCGATCGGCGTCGGCCTCTCATCTACAACGTTGCACTCGGGCGTTTCAAGGATCTCCAGCTGCGTGCCGGCGTTCCCGAGGATGATTTGTATGCCTTTCATGGGCTACGCGTCCGCGGCTACAATGGCACTGTCTGGAAGCTCGGCGAGGCGGTCGCTCAGGCCCATGGGCTTTGGAAGAGCGAGGCGCACAAGCGCTACCGGCGTTTCAAGATGTCGCTCGTCGCGCGCATCCCTGCTGCAATCTGGGAGCTTGTCGAGGGCGAGGAGGATGACGCTGACGAGGGCGGCGACGGGGCCGACGACCAGGAGCCGGACCCCCAGCCTCGCGTCGCGCCTGTCGTGCGCGCCACTCGGGCGACGCTTCGGACCACGGGGGACGACGCCGCTCAGCGGGCAGCCAGTGCGCCTCCCGTTCGCCCGCCCCCGCCCCCCGTCGTCGCCGTTGAGGGGATGGCCGAGGGCGAGCCTTTGCGGATGGATGACATTCTACTTCCTCAAGGGTGGTCGTCCAGCAGTGAGGGGGGATTCGTTGGTCCAGATGGGCAGCAGGCCCCAAGCCGCGATGCGGCGTGGGGGGCCGTCATTGGCAGCGTCGTCGAGTCGTCGGCAGCTGCCATCCAGCGTGCTCTGCGCCAGGATTCTTGACCGCCCAGCTTGTATTTCTTTTTCCGAGTCACCGAGGCACATCTCTTCCGCCTTCGTGCTCGCGCTCTTCGTCGGCTTCGCTTTCCAGTTTGGGTTTTGCCTCAGCTTTGGGAGTGCGAATTCCGCAATGTGTGCCATGTATTGCGTCCTCGCGATTGTAACATGCGGATATAACCAAACGACCCTGTTCACAACCGCAAGTTACTGCAGGCTTGACCCCAGTTGGGCCACGGTGACTAGGTGTGAATGGGGGAGTTCGGTATTCACAGTCGTTTACACTGAGGGAGCAATGGCTATTATTATTCGGGTTGCTTTGCCGTCATCATTCAGGGCGGCGTCCTACCATGGCGGCTCAAGTCAGTTATTAATATTGCTGGTGTCCGCCGTGCGAGGCGCCGTTCCACTTCGGCGCCGCCGGTCTGGCGCGGTTTCCTATTTGCAATTATTGCACGCCGCGCCGCCGTTGGGCGAACTTATCGGCAGCAACTTATTGCGCGGTTTTCGCGATGTCTCTCTTAGCTCTGGGTCGCAATGGGCGATCCCAGGCGGGAGCAGAGGCCAGTGGCCTCGATTCTCTGATCCCACCCTCCTCCCATATCCCCTTCTTAGTTTCACGGAGAGGGGTAGAGTGCGAATTCCGCAATGTGTGCCATGTATTGCGTCCTCGCGATTGTAACATGCGGATATAACCAAACGACCCTGTTCACAACCGCAAGTTACCTTTCTCGTTTCTTTTAAGTTGTGTGACATGAGAGAGACACTGGTTTTTCTTGAGTTCTAATGAGCACAGCCACGCTGAATGCCGTTATGTAAGTGAGGGCTACGAGCTCGTGTCGATCGGAAATCGATCGACCGAATGTGACATGTGATGTGCATGCACATGCACAACATGACATGAACATGAATGACATGTACATGTTGTGTGACATTAACATTTGAATGAAATGAGTGAGAGAGAGTGAGAGAGAGACAGACCATTCATGCATAATGCCATTTACGTAAGTCGATAAGTGTACAAAAAAGTACAAGCACTTTGAGATCGAGAGGCGCGAGCGAACCGGGGGGGAGGGAGGGAGGGGAGGAGAGCGGAGAGAGCGGAGCGCGAGCAAGCAGCCAGCTCCAGCGGAACGCCCGCCCGCCCGTCTCTTTATGCAACATGGATGTGCCCCCAGGTGGCCTCGCGCGGCTGCCACGCTGGCGGGTGGGCCGAACAACAGCCCAAGGGCAGTAGTCTCGCGTCTCGCGGTCTCATCATCAGGCGGCTTCGGTCTCGATGCCGCGGCCGGCCTCGGCCTCCGTGGTCTTGCCTCCCCCTTCGACAAATTCGACAGGCTCCACCTGAATGGGGCGAGGATGGGTGTGCAGCCTGTCTGTTGTGTGCGCGTGTGCTGCGTGGCGCGTCTACCGGCTACTCTGTGTGTCGCTCCGCTCGCCTTCGTGAACCACCAGCTCTTCGACTCGGTGGGCACGCACGGCAGGAGCTGGAAGAGGATGAGAGTGACGCCGCAGACGGCGGGAGCGACCAGCGAGTCGACCCCAGAGTAGTCAGCGAGCTTGCTCTGCGGGCAGACGTCGTCGATGTTGCCGTCGGCTATCCCGAGGAAAATATTGAGCATATTTGGGTCGTAGATGCCGGCGCCGTACGTCTGAGCGTAGTCGCCCAGGAGGAGGAGAAGCCGGTCCTTGGGCAGCGCAAACTCGAGGATGAGCCTCGAGAAGGAGCCCGCCTATTTGCGAGAAGGGTGCTGGATGAGTGGCGGGCGATGAGACGATCGGCCGTCGAGGTCGTCGGTCGAGCTGAGACAGGCACCAGCTCCAGTGTGTGGGTTGTGTGTGTGTGTGTGGGGGGGGGGAGTAACGAGGCGCGGGCGCTAAGCTCACCATGATTGAGGCGAAGGCGGCGATGGGCTTGCACGACGGCCAGTAGACGGCCGCGAAGAGCGGGATCACCGAGCCCGCGAGCATGATGTCGAAGGCAACGATGAGGAGGTAGCCGGTCTGGTCGGGGACGGCGCAGGCGATGCCTAGAGACACGTTCATGACATGTGGATGAGAGAGGACATGTCTAGTCGGGCCTGCTCTCGCAGGCATGCCGATGGAGAGGGCAGTCCAGAAGACCGTCGAGATGCCTGCACCGGAGGCACGGAGGCCATGCACAGGGCGTCGGTGCTGGTGGCGGCGCGGAGAGCCAGAGAGGGCGGGAGGTCGCGCGGCGCGAGGCGGCGGGAGTCCGGAGGGGGCGTGCTGCGCGTGCAGTGATGTCCATGGCAGTGGGAGCGGAGAGGGGGGTGCGCACGAGTGATGCGCAACAGCTTGGACTGCTCGAAGGGCGCGAAGCGGCGAAGGATGTTGTGACTGAAGCATGTTCCCATTGCGAGGATCGAGCCGTCGCCGGTGGACATGCACGCAGCGACGATCGCGATGAGCATCCACCCGCCGAGGAACCTGGAAGAATGTTGTGGACCACTCACGGACGGGGCTGAATACACCAGCGTCGACTGCCGGAAGCTTCCACCCGTTCATGGGATGGTTCGTCTCGGAGCCCGCGCCGAAGCCGCCGCTGCCGTCGAAGTCCAAAAAGTAGTTGCATGTGTCCTGCCGTGCGAGGGGGACGCGCACGCTCTTGCGCGCACAGACGGGCAGACGGCAGCTAGGAGGGCAAGCCGCGCGGACCTTGGTGCAGGTGATCATCTTGAGCGGCGCGAACGGGTCCGGCTTCCACTCGCCGCAAGTGGGCACGCCCGACAAGGGCACGGCGTTGCACGAGTCCGAGCCAAAGCAGCCCACCACCGTGATGTACCGCGAGCAGCTGTCGGCCACAAACTCGGCGTGAGGCGACGACGGGCCGTAGAGCGCGCGGATGGCGCCGCCGTTGGCGGAAGTGAAGCCGCCGATGAGGAAGACGAGGGCGGCGGCGATGAAGCAGCCGCGTCGCGCCGTCGTGCCTGTGGTGGACTCCGGAGAAGCAGTGCCTCCTCGAGGACCGTGTCGACATGCATGCCGAGTGCTTGCTCGAGAAGATGCACGGAGCATATAAGCTACGACTGAGACGATGGTGCGTCGCATTCGGCATCTATTGCCGTCGTGCCGTCCTTGGCCGCGAGAACGCGCGCCTGGAAGTCGATGGCGGCGACGTTGCCGAGGGCGAGGACGATGATGGTCACCCAGTTGAAGAAGATTGCGTTCGGGATGGGGTCGTACGAATCCGGGTCACTCATGCCCTCGGGGATGGCGTTCTTGTCGCCGAGCGGGTAGCCGGGAGAGACACCTGCACGGCACATCTCGGCGCTCTCGGGTGACGAGGACCTCGGTTGCCACCCGACGGGCAAGGTGGTGGCGACCGGGCGCGCGAGGGAAGTTGTGGTAGACGTAGGCGGTGCCAACGAGGAGGCCGAGATAACCGAAGCAGCCCTGCACGATGTCGGTGTAAGCCACCGAGAGCATGCCGCCCGCGACCGTGTAAACCCAGACGGTGCAGCCGGCGATGCAGATGCCCGCGTACGGTGAGCCGAGGCCAAAGACGTACGCGATCACCTGATCTCGGTCGATCTCGGTCGATCTCCACGTGCTGCTCTCCCGGCTGCCCCGGCTGCTCTCGGCTGCTCTCGGCTGCTCTCGGCTGCTCTCGGCTGCTCTCGGCTGATCCCGAGCTCGTCGCCTTGCCAAACCCGACGAGGTTGGAGCCGAAGAGGCAGATGAAGCTGACGATGGCGAAGACGCCAAAGGCAACCTCGGAGGCGGGCCCGAAGCGGCGCCCAAACACGTCCGGCAGCGTGAGGAGCTTCATGTCGTTGAGCGGCTTGGCGAAGAAGATGCCGACGAGGACCAGCGACCAGCCGATGCCGAAGGGGAGGGCGAAGCCGTCCCAGAAGTGGTAGTTGTACGCGAGGTCGACGTTCCTAGTCGGACGTGTCGCGGACATGTCGCGGACGCGTCTCAGAAGTGTCAGGCGCGCGAGGTCCGAGTGCGCTCCCCATCGTTCCAGAGCCGTCGATACCCTGCGCAAGAGGGCAGCGCGCAAAGGTACGTAAAGAGCGCGAATGAGGGAAGGAGGGGTGTCTGCGAGTTGGCGTCAGGTCGGCGTGCGTGCGGGGCCTCGGATGCCATATGGAGGGCGCGAGGCACCTGCCCCGCTAGGGTGGCGGCGAGCACGGGCAGCGAGAGGGAGCGGCCCGCGACAAAGTAGTTCTCCGCCTTGCCGCCCACCTTTTTGAGGGCGACCAGGCCGAGGACCGTGCATAGCGCGACAAAGATGATCACGGGCGTGCCTGGAGGTGCACCGATGAGGTCACTAAAGGGGTGCGTGCCGGAAGGTTGGCGAGCACGCGACGGGCCGCGCCGAAGGAGATTTGGAGGTCCTTTGTCGTCATCTCAAAGGGCGCGGGGCACGGGATGCCTAGAGATGCATCGTCCAACCGCATTCAGCCGCAATACGGGGCACTCAAGAGGCGCGGGCTCTAGGCGGCGCCGCAGTCCAGCCACTGCGTTGCGGAGTCGTCCTTTGTGCACTCGCCGCCCGTCAGGGTCGGGTAGGAGCGGGTGGCTGGGTCGTTGGCTGCGCCCCACCCTTTCGTGTTTGGATCCGGCAGGTCCTTGGTGGTCGTCAGAAAGTCTGCAGGGCACAACGGCAAGAGGTAGTTTCAGCCAGGGGGAGCGGAGGGGAGGAGGAAGGGGAGGGGGGGGCGCCTGGCAGATCGCGGGTCTCCGGCGTACTGTACTTGCAGTCCTCGATGGTCCCGGTGGTGCAGATGGGGTCGGCGCCGAATGGGTCCGGCGCGGCGTACCTGGAGGCAAGGGTGGGTGGGCAGCAGCGGGCTCGGTGAGGGAGGGCCGGCGAGGGAGGGCAGGGTGGGCAGCAGCGGGCTCGGTGGCAGAGAGGCGAGGAGACACACTTATACGGCTCCCCCGCCCATCGCATCCCGACCCCCAAAGGGGTCTTGAAGTCGGCGCCGACCGTTGGGTTGAGGAGCTCCTGCCACGGAAGGCAGGCCCCCATATCAGGGTCCGAGTCGAGCAGGTCGAGCCACTCGGCCGGGCAGTCGAGCGAGGAGTAGTCCATGTCGACGCCGCCGACGGTGTATTCGCTCGGCCCGCTTCCCTCCACTTCGAGGAGCTGCCGCCGCTTGCGCCTGAGCGGGAGGGGCGGTGGAATTGTTCAGAGGTGGCGACGTCCAAAAATGCAAACGGACGTGGCGGTCGAGGGCGCCGAGGCGGCACCTCTCGATAGACGCCCGCTTGGCTTGATGCGAGACGCGCACCGTCTCATCGGCCCAGCGATATTGCCCGAATGGAGGCCAGAAGCCAGATACGGCAGGCTGGACGAGCAGCATCACGGGAGCCCAATGCGAAGCGAATGGCGGCGTTCTTGGTTGGGGGGAACACGAAAAAAAGAATTTGCTATTCCTCCCTCGCACGACACGAAAAAAAGAGTTGGGAGCCCGCCGTGCACCGCGCTGCGAGCCTGTCGTGTCCCTTGTCAGGAGCAGGAGAGCCCCACCTGTCCCCCTGATCGTCCTTCCAAAATCCTGCTCGTGCAGGTGGGGACCCTGTCCTCCTCCCCCATCCCTCGTCTGGGTTTGTCTGTTTTCTTTCTTTCTTTCTTTTTACGAAAAAAAGAACGGGTTGGTGAAGAGTAAAAAGAGTGCGGAACCAGCGTTTCACGTCACTCACCGTGCCTGGGAGCGTAGTGCATGCGCCATGCCTCCGACGTCCGAGCCTGCATGAACCGATGCAAAATTTCGCGAACCCCGAACAAACAAACCCCGGGAACAGGGGCGCGCCAAATTATACGGACACGCAACACGCTACGACGCTCCTATATACCCGGGAAGCTACTACCCCTGGAGCCCGCGTCATGGCGCCGCCTGCATCCTGTACGTGCCTGGCGACCAGAACTGCCGCAGCTCAGTGGCGTTCGGCAGCCGGACTGGCTGCGTTGTCGCCTGCGGCAGTCCGGCCAGCGAGGCGTACCACTGCGAGATGACGCCTTCGGACCCGGCGCCGAACAAGTGCACCGTGCCGCACGGGCTCGAGCGCATGTTTGGGAGCGAGCCCGTGATCTTGCCCACATCGAGGTAGGACGCGTCGGCGGCGCGGGTGGCGTTCAGGCCGCACGCCTCCCCGCCGGCCATCAGATCGGTGAGCTTGGAGCGGCGCCTGCCCCAGTGGTAGCAGGAGCGGTCGTGATCCAGCGGGCACTCCGGACACGGCGCGAAGCCGAGGAGCGCGATCTGCGTGCGCGGTAGCTCGGCGCGCAGGGCTTGCAGGACGAGGTGCATCCGCGGGCACACGAGGTGTGCAGAGGCCATCTGCATGTCCCAGAGGCCGGTCGAGAGGAAGACGGCGTCCGGTGGCGCGGAAGCCTCGGAGACGAGCTTGTGCACCCGGCTCAGCATCGAGCGCATGTGCAGCTTCGTGTTCAGCGAGTGCCACACAAAGGTGTACCGCGTCTTGGACACGTAGTCGAGAGCGCACACCTTGCGGACGTTCCTCCCGCGGTGGTCGTCGAGACAGCCGCCCTTCCAGCGCGACATGCAGCCCGCGCTGTAGTAGCCCCACCTCTCGTTGCCATCCGCGTCCCACCCATGCGGCTCGCACTCGTCGCCGGCCGCCACCCGATGCACAGGCCAGCCTGGCGGTGTTTCGCCGGCGTCGCGGGCCACCGCGGCAGCATAGGCGATGCGGCCTCTCGAGTCCCCGATGAAGAGGAGCCAGCGGCCAGCCACGTCCGCCTGAGCTCTCGCCGGCTCCCACCTCCAGCCGTCCGGAGGCGGGCCAGGGACCCATCGCCCACGCAGCCGCCCGGTGCTCCTCAAGCCGACGCTAGCCCCTCTGAGCAAACCATCGGGCGTGGGTAACAGCCATTCGTCAGCACCTGAGGTACTGCTCCGCCTGGTACGTCGAGGTGCGAGTCGCTGACTCGCCATGGACTCAAGAGGATAAACCCACAAGGCGAGGCGCCGCGTGAGCCCCCTGGGCCGTAAAGGAGGAACTAGCCCGCCGACCGAAAGAATTTAAACCAAGAGAAAAGCGGAAGTAGGTTATGGTTGACAGAAAGGCCGAGGAGAGCGACGAGGCAGAGGATGACGGGGCAGCGCCTGACAATGCCTGACAGCAAACCCCGGACAGCGCCTGACAATGCCCGACAGCACCCGACAGCACTGACAGCACCCGACAGCTGTGGTCTGACAGAGGCACCTGACAGTGCCTGACAGCTGCCCGACAGCCCGACAGATCACCTGACAGCACCTGACAGCCTGACAGCCACAGGGCTCAGCGTGCGAGGCCGAGGGAGTTTGGTTGTAAAATTCTTTCTTACTTTTCGAGGGTCGACAACACAGGAGACAGGTGTCTTGTACAGGTGCCAGGTCGGCGACGGAGTGTTCCAACACAGATGGTCATAGTATGGTGTATCAGCGCCGGCCTGGTGACGTGGGTCACTGTCACTCGTCAGTCACACACGCAGCACACACACGTCAGTCCTCGCCGAGTCCCCGTCACCGGCTGGTCACCGGGTGACACGCTCTCGCGACACCCCGCGCTCCGGCCTCCGAAGACCGCGCCAGCCCCCCCCCCCCCGTCCCGTCCCCCGATCCCGTGGTGCGTGGAGCGTGGTGTGTGGAGTCTGTCTGGACAGACTGGAGAGTGGAGCGGGACGAGCGAGCAAGCGTGAAGCGTCAAGCGAGGTCCGAGGACCACACTCGCCACACTCTCCACACAGCACACACGCGCGCACACACACCGCGCTCACCGCACACCGCTCCCAAGTTACACGGAGCTGAAGTAACCCGAACAAACAAACCGAACAAAAAAAGCCAATTTACCTCCCCCGAACGCCCGCGAAGGCACCGCACATACGGTGAAGGTGTGGCACACACGGTTTTGTGTATTGTGTTCCCTGAGTCTGCACAGTCCACAGACCCACAGCCACACACTCGACTCGGACGTCTCATGTGGCGCTGCAACGGACGGACACCCATGCAGTGAAGAACAGTACAGCGGCCGGACACCCACTCCCACTTACTGACTCGCTCGACGATGACACAAGTACTTCGAGGGCGTCCCCTCCTCTCATGCAGAGTCCCCTCAGTCTCCCGCATGCTGTCTATGGCGCAGCCTCTCGACGCAGCCCGCGCGCTCGTAGATCGAGCGCGGGGCATGATTCGACTGGCATGTCTCGACCCTCCCCGCACTGTGCGTGCAGCAGCGGACTCCTCCCCTCCCCTCCAAGCGACGTAGGCGCTCAGGCGAGGAGCCGCCGGAGGCCCCGGCCGCAGAGCCGACGGCCGTGGGGCTGCGCTTGGGTGCCGCAGAGCCGTCAGGCGCCGCCGCGTGTGGCGCGGCGGCCGCGCTTCGCCTCCGGCTTCTCCTCCTTCTCGGCGCTGGGGCGGCCGCGCTTCGGCTTCTCCTTCGAGACGGGCGCCTCCTCCGCCGCCGGCTCGGGCGCCGCCGGCTCGTCTGGCTCCGGCTCCGGCTCCGTCGAAGCGCGCCCCTTCTTGCCCGCCACTGGCGTCTTGCCCTTCTTGCCCTTTGGGAGGGAGACGGTCGAGGTGAGGCAACACCCCCCCCCCCTCTCTCCCCACACAGCGGATCTCAGCCGCATCTCTCGCACCTTCTTGCCGGCGGGCGGGCTCTTCCCCTTGGCGGGGCTCTTCTTCTTCGCCTGCCCCGGGGGGGAAAGAGAGAGGGGGAGGGGTCTGGAGGGGGGGCAGAGACTGGGCTCCTCCCCCCCCTCGGCAAGGGGGGCACAGACATGGGGCGGTTGTGGGGAGGTGTGGCGGAGTCCGCGCCTCCTCGGGGAAGGCGACAAGCCGCTTCTCCGTCGCCTCGGCCTCTGCCGCAGCGGCGGCGGCCGCCTTGTCCGCAGCGAGCGCCGCCGCCGTCTGCAGCTTAGCGTCGCGAGCCTGCAGTGTGAGGGCGCGAAGTCAGACCGCGTGTGAGAGTGTCGCGCACTGCACGCGCGAACAAGCGACGGGCGACTGCGGCGACGGGCGAGGGCGGAGCGGCGTGGACTCGCGAGTGGGCTCCGAGTGCCAGCTGCAGGAGTGCCAGCTGCAGCGCAGAGGGCCTGGCGTGAGCTCTCTACGACTGGCGGCGCCTGCAGCGCCGCCGCCTGCGCCGTCGCCTCGTCCCCGGCGACGCGCGCCTCCACCTCGGCGGTGGCGGTGTCCTGCGGCGGGGGGGGCGTGGGGAGGTCGGGAGAGGACAGCGCGGCGCGTGGTCGCGGCGGGCGGGCGGCGGAAGAAGGGCCGGGAAGGGGTGTGTGCGCGCGGCGGCGAGGGGTGGGGCGGGAGGGGGCTGGGGGGTTCAGCCACCGCGGTCGCCGCCGCGAGCGCCTCCTCCGCGGTGAGGAGCTCCGCGCGCAGCTTGGCCGCCTTGTCGGCCGCCTTCTTCTCCTCCTTCCGGGCGGACTCGAGCGCCTGCGCGTCGAGCACACGACGAGTCGGGGCGGGAGCAGGGTCTCGCGCCGTGTGAGCACCGCGTGAAGTCGGGGGCTACGAGTACAGCGAATGCAGCGGCGTGCAGTACACGGGGTCCGGAGTCTGCATCCAGGCTCGAGCGCCTTGCTCTTGGCGTCGGACCCCTTGGCCGCGGCCTTGCTCAGCTTCTCCGCCGCGCCGCGCGACGCCGCCGCCTCGGCCTCGGCCTCCGCCGCCAAGCCCGCCTCCGCCTGCGCCGCCTCCGACTTGACCTGCGCCAGCGCCGCCTGCGCCTCGGCCTCCGCCTGCGCGGCGGCGGCGGCGGCCTCCTCCTCGGCGATCCGCCGCTGCTCCTCCTCAGCGGCCGCCTACTTCCGGAGGCAACGCGGGGGGTCATCTCGGACGACCTCGAGCCGCCGCCGCCCCCTCTCTTCGGCCCCGCCTTCTCCGCCGCCGCCTTCTCCGCCGCCGCCCGCGCCGCCGCCTCCTCCTCCGCCTTCTGTGCTGCGGCGATGGCAGCCTCCCGCTCCGCCTGGAGCCTCGCAGCCTCCGCGGCGGCCAGCCGAGCCGCCTCCGCCGCCGCGGCGCGATCGGCCGCCTCACGCTCCGCCTGCTGTCTCGCCTGCGCCTCGCGCTCCGCTTTGGCGCGCTCTGCCTCGGCCCGAATCATCTCCGCCTTGCGCGTTGCCTCGTCGATCGCCTGCTGCGCCTTCGCCGCCCGCTCCGCCTCCGCATCCGCGGCCGCGGAGGCGGCCGCGGCCTCCTTCGCCGCCTCCTCGGCGGCCTCGGCGGCCCGCTGCTGGGCCGCCTCGGCGGCAGCGGCCTCGGCTTTCTGCCGCGCCGCGTCGGCGGTCTGTTTGACGACCGCCTCGCACTTTGAGGCGCCGGATATGCTCTCGCGGCGGGCGGCCTCGGCCTTTGCGGCGCGGTCCGCCTCAATCTGCTCCGGCGTCGGCGGCGGCGGCAGCTCCGCCTCCTGCGACGGCTTCGGGGGACTCGAAGCGTCCATCCAAAAAGAGTCCATTGCTGCGGCGGAGGGGAAGGCGTGCAGTTGTGAGGGCGGGCAAGGACGGACGAAGGCGGTGGAGAGGGGGCGACGGGGCGACGGGGCGAGGGGGCGGCCCTACCTGCCGGTTGCAGGTTGCAGGCGGCTCAAGTCAAATGGCCTCTCCGGAAAGAGAGAATGACAGCGCACACTGCAGACAGAGACACAACACAACGCGCTCTTTTCACCTTCCTACCCAACCTAAAAGCACTCTCTCGCATTACAAGGGACACTCTGTCATGTCATGTCGGTGGACAAGACAGATCCACCGAGCATGGACAGCCTCACAGCCTCAGAACTCGAACCCGAGCCGGCTGAAAGAGAAAAAATAAAGAATGCAGGGACAGCGTTTGTGGGGACTACATGCGACTTCGTTTGTTGAAAACTTTAAAAAGAAAAATCCGCTCGCGCGCCGCCTTACTGACATACGTGTGTGTATGCATCCTGAGGAGGACGCCGTCGAGCGGAGCCTGCGCACCCTCGAGCTCCGGCGCGACGCGCGACCGCGGGCGCGGCTGCTGCTGCCTGCGTCTCCGGCTGGACGGGAGGTGGCGCCACCGGCGCCGCCGCTGCTGCTGGCCGACGGCGCGGCCAGGCCAGTGCTGCGGCGTCTCCCGCCGCCGCCTCCCGCCGCCGACCCGGCGGTCGACGCATCGGCGGCGTCGGCGCTCTCCGCGGCGGCGGCGGTCGAGCTGCTTGGGCTGCCCAAGCTCAGCGCGGGGAGCGCGCTCAACGGAGACGGCGTCTTGCGTGTCGAGGAGCGCCGCGCTAGCCACGCCGAGCGCGACGTCCGGCGGCGGAAGGCGGAGTCGCGCCGCGCCGCCGCACACCGCATCAGGCCGCCTCCGGTGCCGCGCGAGCTGCGCTCGTCGTCGCTGGTGGAGTACGCGGACGGGGTGGACGTCATCGCGCCGGCGGACAACATGAAGGCCTTCTTCAAGCTGCTGCACACCGAGGCGGCTCGGCCGGCGCACCATGTCGCCCTCCCGGAACCCGTCTCGAGCCCTCCTCGAGCCGGCCTAGGCGGCCGTCTCGCTGGCCGTGCACCGCGTCGGAGACTGCCTCGTCCTCGAGGGCCTCGAGCTCGACCCGCCGCTGCGGCCGGCCGGGGACGAGGCCGCCTCCTCTGCGGACGAGCCGGAGCCGCAGCGGATGGTGCTGCAGCGCAAGGCCCGCCACTCCACCTCTCGGCCACCTCTCGGCCACCTCTCGGCCACCTCGCGGCCACCTCTCGGCCACCTCTCGCACCCTCTCGGCACCCTCTCGGCGGTGGCGGCGGCTGCAGGCCCACCACTCCCGCTTCCTCACGTACTCCGTGGCGGCGGCCGGCGGCGGCGGGAGCGGCAGCGACGGCGGCGAGGACGCTGGCAGTGGCGGGCCCGGCGGCGGCAGCGGCGGTGGAGACGGCGGCGGCGGTGGCGGCGGTGGCGGCGGCGGCGGCGGGGGCGGGGCTGGTGGTGGGGCTGGTGGTGGGGCTGGTGGTGGGGCAGGCGGCGGCGGCGGAGTCGGAGGAGAGGAGTCGGACTCGGACGTGGAGGAGTGGATGCCGGACAAGGAGGCGCCGCGCGGCTTCCGCCGCGTGGTGCGGTGGCAGCTGGGCGGCCTCTCGGTGCCGCGCGGGCCGGGCACGCTGCTGACACGCCTCCTCTTCCATCCCTCACACCGATCTCTTCCAGGTGCTGCTCGGGTCGGACACGCTCATCTGCAGGCACGACGGGCCGGGCGGCGCCGCCTCGATCGACACGTCGCACTCGTCGGCGAGCGGCCGCCGCGTCGGGCGAGCTCGGCGAGACTGCCCGGGAGGAGCTGGGATTGGACGGACACGTGTAGGCCGGCTACGCAGCGTCGGGCGTCTCAGTCGCCCTGCACGACGCGCGTTCGGACGTCACTTCGCTGGTCTGCCTCGACTACTGGCTCGACGCCGTCATGTCCTCCTCGTCGGAGGTCGGCATCTGCCTGCACAACGGCGGTGTGGTGCAGGGATACCGGGCGGTGCCGACAGACTCGCTCCCTGCTGGCGGCGGCATCTGCACAGACGGCGGGTTCTCCCCGGCTGCCGTCTCCTCCTGCGCCGTGTCGGTGCTCCGTGCCCTGCAGCGAGCCTCGGCGGACCGGCGGACTCGGCGGACGTCCGTTCTTCGCCACCCCCGTGCAGGTGCTCCGCTTCCTTCAGCAGCACTGCACGCGCGAGGCGGCAACTTACTGGCTCGTCCGGCGCGACGGCGGGCAAGAGCTCGAGCTGTACGACATCAGCGTGCTGGAGCTGGGCGAGCCGGAGCCGGACGCCGCCGCTGATGCCGCCGCCGCTGCCCGCAGCGGCGGGTCGGCTGGCGGCGGCGGGTCGGCCGGCGGCGGCGGGTCGGTCGGCGGGAGCGAGGGCGGGAGTGAGAGCGGGAGCGAGGGCGGCGAGGAGGAGGGGATCGGGTTCGACAAAGACGACGAGGCGGCGGCGCACCCGTTTGCGGAGCCGGTGGCGCTCCTCTGCGCGCGGGGTGGCTGAGGCGACCACTTGACTGAGTGGGTCCACTTGTGATGCAGGTGGCGCTCCTCTGCTGGAGGATGGCGGAGCGCCTCTCTCCGTCCAGCCGGCCGGAGGCGGCCCGCCGCCGCAGCCTGCTCCGCTCGTGCGTGCGGCTGCTCGAGCAGTCGGAGCCAGGGAGGGCGCAGCTGCCCCTCGCGGCAGCGGCGCACGAGGGCCTCGCCGACTCGCACCTCCTCGAGGCCCACCAGCTAGAGCCCCTCCCTTCGGCCGGCGGCGCGCTCGAGCCGCCCCGCCACGGCGACGGTCCGTCGGAGGTCGTACTGGCCGTCTTCGCGGGCCGCATCCCGGAGGTCTCTCGGATGGAGCCCGACCGTGACTGCTGGCTAGGCGGCCCTCGCCGCCATCGCGGCGCACCGCTCGGCAGCGCGCGAGCTCATCGCCGGCATCGGCGCGCTGCGCGGCGTCTGCCGGCCCGGCGCCGCGCCGCCGCGCCTCCTCCGCATCATCGCCAAGCTTGGCCGCGCCGAGCTGGCGACGGCGCGCCGCTACGTCCTCGCCGGTCGATACGGCCGTGCAGTGGCGACACTACGGCGCGCGGCGCGCGCGCACGCCGCGCTGCGCGCGCCTGTGATCGCGCTCTCTCCTCAAGGGCAGCGGGCGGCTCCGCCCGTCGCCACGGCGGGGGAGCGTGGCTTTCTGCGCGTGGGCGTAGATGGGGAAGACATAGCCACGCCCTGACGGCCGCCATGCAGCGGGCACGCAGTCTCGCGCATGCTCCACGAACAAGCGCCACGCGTCGAGGGGCTGCCGGCGCCGTGTGACTCGTCCTCCCCTCCCACCCCACTGGTCTCGGCCCCACTTGGCTCACGGGTGTCCGCCCCACTTGTCTCCACCTACAGGCTCGTGACCCTCGCCGACGCGTGCCGCCTCGTCGCCGACCAAGCGGCCGCGTCCGAGCCGGCGGCGGCGCGCGCGGCGCTCGCCCGGCACGCGAAGCGCGCCTCTTGAGCGAACTGACCGACTGCCCCGTGACGCTCGGTGAATGTCGCCAACAGGCATGCGGAGGAGCTGCGCCTCGCCGCCGAGGACCGCGAGTTGCAGATCCCGCCGTGGGCCGTCGCGGTGCTGCGCTCCTCCGCCGGCGAGCCAACCGCGAGCGAGCCCGCACGCGAGGCGGCGGACGCCGCCGCGCCCGCACCTGCCGCCGCGCCCGCACCCGCCGCCGCGCCCGCGCCCGCGCCCCGGACGCCGCCCTTGGCGGGGGCAGCCCCATCCAGCGTCGCTGGCGGAGGGACCCCGTCCTCGGCGCCGTCCCCTGCGCTATCTCCTGGCCCCTCCCCCGGCGCATCGACACCTCCGCCCATGGCGGCCGACGGCGACGGCGCGCCGACGATCGTAGCGTTTGCGCCCGATGCGGAGGGCAACTACAAGCTCGCCATCGGCTTCTTCCTGTCGGCGGTCAAGCAGGCGCCTTCCGCCATGACACGTCCACACGCCCATGGCACATCTGACGTCGCGTCGTCGGTACGTGCCGCAGGTGCCCGCCGCGTCGCTCGCCGCCACGCACGCACGGCTACGCGCGGCGTACGAGCAGCTCGGCGAGTTGTACGCCGTGTCGGACCGGTACACGAAGGCTTGCCGCCACTACCACCAGGGTGTCGAGCTCTTCCGCTCCACGTCGGACCCGCGCTCGGCCGCAATCATGTCGATCGCCTTCGGGCGCACACTGCGCTCGCGCCTCGACGTGGCCGGGCCGCCCGACCACGCGGGCTTAACCGGCGTGCCGGCCTCTGCCGGCGGCGGAGGCGCCGCCTCCTCGGAGCTCCTGCCCGCAGCGGCGCGCCGGCTGGCGGCAGCGCAGGGCGGCTCGGTGCCGGCGCCCTCCGAGATGTCTGCGGCGGAGCTGCAGGACTTTGAGCGGTGCGTCGCCGCGTTTGAGCAGGCGCAGGGCCTGGCCAGCACCGCCCGCGACGACCTGCCCGGGCAAGAAGGAGGCGGCGGCGGCGGCGGCGGCGGCGGCGTCGGCGGCGGCGGCGGCGTCGGCGGCGGCGGCGGCGGCGGCGGCGGCGGCGGCGGCAGCGGCGGCGGGGGCGCGGTCGTCGGTGCCGAAGGCGGTTGCGATTCGCTGTGGATCGAGGCGGAGCTCGAGGTTGGGCGGACGCAGCTGATGCAGGCGGTGCGTCTCGAGGATTCGCTTCCGTACGCGCCGCGGTCGGCCGAGGCGGCGGCGGCGGCCTCCAAGCTGATGGTGGAGGCGGCTGCGCGGCTGGAGCGGTGCGGAGCGCGGGCCGCGGCGGGCGACGCGCGGTACCGGCTCGGTCTGCTGATGCGGCGGGAGGCAGAGCGCGCTGCGGCGGGCCGGCCCGAATCTGCGAGCGCCGCAGCCCTCGCCTCCTTGGTCGTCGCGAAGGAGCACTTCGAGGCGGCGCTGAGACTGCTGCCTCAGCAGGAGAGCGCACGCGACACTTCCGAGACACCTCCTCCACATACCGCTCTTTGGGTGCGGAGTCGTGCTGTGTGGCCCGCCCCTCCTCTGCCCACGCCCACGCCCACCGCCCGCGACGTTTGCCGGCGACGTTTCCGACGCGTCCACGACACGTCCACAGGAGCGGCCTGCGGAGCATGTGCTGGCGCGGGTCGACCTCGCGTCGCTGCACCGCGCGCTCGGCGGCGGCGGCGGCGGCGGCGATGCCGTCGCTGGCCGCGAGTGCGAGCTGCGCGCGGCGCTGCGCTGCGTGTTCGCCACGCACGCCATCTTTTGCCTGTACGCATTCCCGATGCCGCCGCGCTCGCCGACCGCTGATGGCGCCAGGGCCCTCATGGGCGGGGCGGTGCCGCCGGCGCGCACCGGCGGCGCCGACGAGCGCCCTACCGGAGGGCCATGCGCGCAGGTGGCGGCGACGTGGCCTCTGGTCGAGTCAGAGGTGCAGGCGACCCTGAGGGAGCTCGCGAGGCTGCACTCGGGCGCGGGCGACGGCGCGCGCGCTGCCGCGTACAAGGGCATGTACCGGCTCGCACTGACGCAGCGCGAGCTGCTCGGCACGGACGTGCTCCTCCATTTGGCCGAGGAGGAGGCGCGAGCCAACTCGTCGTCTACTTGAAGACCTCTTTTCATCACATGCCTTTTCGTTTGCCCCGCCGGCCGGCACACCGCGTGTGTCGGCTCCCAGCGCGTTTGTTTTTCAAAGGAAAAGGTTTTAAAGGTCAATATCAAAGGAACTCAGCAGTTGTGTGTGTCTGTGTACAGCAAGCAGAGTATCGAACTCTCGTTTTTTGTGGGCCTTGGGGAGCGCTTGCACTCGCTTGACGATTCCTTTCTCTCGAGACACGAGGCAGCTACTCGGGCCCCGCGAGCCGCGCCTGTGCGTGCCGAAAGCCAGAGCCGAGAGAGGCGTGGCCGCTGGCGCGGTGCCGCTCTGCCCACGCGGCGAGCTCCCCGCACGACGCAGCCAGCGCCGCACGCGAGGTGGCAGTCAGCTGGCCGGGTCCCTCTCCCCGCCCGTCGAGCAGCCCGCGCGCCTCGGCGCAAGAGAGAAGCGCGCCTTGCAGGATGAGCACGCCGTCGGCGGCGGGCCGCTTCGGCCGCAGCCGCAGCAGCGGTGGGAGGGCCTCGGCGAGCGTGGCAGAGGCAGCGGCGCCGTCAACGGCGCCGAAGTAGGGGCTCTGCTTTCCGCCGATGGAAGGAGACTCGAGGAGCGAGCACAGCAAGCCCGCCTAGGTACGAGTGATCGTGCGGTGCGCCCTGGTGGAGACGAGAGGCTGGCTCCAGTGGCTTCGGGTGGCGGGTGTGTGAGGTATTCCGCGTCTAGCCCGGACCCCGCCTCCACTGAGAGGCCTCGCAGCGAGCGCACAAAGCGGCCGCGCGACACGGCGCACGGCAGCGCGGTGAAGGCAGCCGCGGCCGCATCACGCACCGCCTCCGTGGGCACCGTCTTGGAAATGGCTCGGAAGTGGCTCGGAACTGTCTCGGAGCCGGCCGCACACAGCGCGTCGATCAGCGCGGCCGCCGCCGCGCCAGCGCGCGGGTTGGTGCTGGCAAGGCAGGCGCATGCGGCCACGGCAACCTCCTCGCTCGAAGCGACGTTCGAAGCGACGGGAGAGAGCACGCTGCGGCGCATCGCGTCGATGACGATCCGGAGGACAGGCACCGCCCGGTGTGAACGCGCCGCCGCCGCCGCCGCCGCCTCCCCCTCCCGCGCCGGCGCCATCTCGGCGAGCAAACTCCGCAGCGTCGGCGCGAGCTGCTCGTGGCGCGCGGCTGTGTCTGCCACCGCCGGCGCCGCCGGCGCCGCCGCAGCCGCCGCCCGGAGGGCCGCGCTCGCAGCAGGTGCGGCTGCAGGTCGGGCGGGCTGCAGTGCCCCGTGCCAGAGCCACGAGAGCACCTGAGGTCAGGCAGGGTGAGGCAAGGCAGGGCGAGGCAGACGTCTCGACGCGCTAGTTTGGCACGCGCGCGCCGCAGCGCATTGAGAGTGCGCTGAGCGTGTGCGTGCGTGCGTGCGTATGTTGTGTGCGGGAGCGCCTCTGGCGGGATGCGCAGCCGCGCCGCGCCGAGGGAGAGCGAGAGGGTCGCGAGCTTCCCAGGGCGGCACAGCTCGAGCTGCTCGAGCGCACTCGACGCCTCTCCACCTCCGCCGCTCCCTCCTCCTCCTCCGCCGCCGCCACCTCCGCCGTCGTCGCTGTCGTCGCTATCCTCGTCGCTGTCGTCCCCCATCCCGCTCAGCGCGGCGCGCACCACCGCTGTCAGCTTGGCTGGAGCAAGCGAGCCACCCGCCTGCGCGGCGAAGAGAGGGAGGGAGGGTGGGGCAGGGGTGGTGGGGGGGGAGCGAGGAGCGTGTTGTGCAGCGCAGATCTGCAGCCCTCGCATCTACCGCCGCATCTAGGGCCACCGACAGCGCCGAGCAAAGCTGCCTCTGCGGCGGCGGCCGGCGGAAGCGACCCCGCGGCCGCGGCGGCCACCGGCGCGGACTCCCGTCCCACGTGCTCCAGGAGCGTGGGCACGTGGCAGAGCGGGCCGCGGGTCGCAAGCCGCCAAACGCGCGCCTCCGCCGCCCAAGCCGCCGCCTCCGCCTCCGCCGGAGCCGCCGCCTCCGCCTCCGCCGCCTGCACCGCCTCCGCCGCCGCCTTGGGTGCGGTCGCCTTTGGCGCTGCCGAAGCCTTGGGCGCCGGCTCTGCCGCCCCCTGCCGCGGCCGCTTGCGCGGCGGAGAGGCGGACTTGGGCGCGGCGGGCGCGCAAGCAGCGCAGAACCTACGAGGGGGAGACGCCAGAGGGACTCCCGCGACGTCCCCGCCGCGCCTACCCGCAACCCTTGCTGGGGACCAATCGCCCTCCGGCACGACAATGCCGTCTGGCAGCTCGAACTCGCCCTCGCAGCCGTCGCACACGATTGCCGTCACAATCTCGTGCGGGTCCCTCTCGGCGGCGGCAGTGGTGGCAGACTTGGCCGGATCGCTAGTCCGGTCTGCGCGTCCACGCTTGGCAGCAGGAGCAGCGGCAGCAGCCTCGTCCGGTTCCCACTGCAGGTGGCCGAGCGCCTCCATCTGCGGCCAGGGAGATTGGGTGAGGGGGGGGGGGGGGGCAGAGAGGGCGTCTCTCCCACCGCGCCTTGCCGAGGGCTTCGTACTGGGAGTCGCCATCGTCGTACAAGACGAGATGCTCCTGCTGCACCTCAGTGAAGTCCTTGACGCGTCCCGTGTACCAGGTCTGCTCCTCATGCCAGAAGACTCGCACGCGCCGACCGAGCACCTCTCGGCCGTACCGCTTGGCGCGCGAGAGAGCCGCCTTGGTCTCTGGTGCGACGCTCGCAACGCGGCCGCTCGTGCGCCGCGGTGCGGGCGCGGGCGGCGCAGGCAAGTCGATACGTAGTGCGACGTCTCGAACCGCCGCCTCCGAGAGCGGCGGGGCGCCCTTGTCGGAGACGAGGGACTCGGTAGAAAGCCGGTGGTCTTTCCGAGCGACCGCTGGACGTTGTGGCTCCATGAACCACAACGTCCGCGAAGTTCCCGCCACAGATTCTTCTACACGGCGGCGGCGGAAGAGGAGGAATGGGAAGAGTGAGGGGGAGGCGGAGGCGGAGGCAGGGGCACCTGTGACGGCCCCCTACAAGAAGGGCGACTACCGGTTCGCGCGGGAGAAGAATTGCGACCTGCGTTTGCTCGACTTCGAGACGTTCGGCGGCTTCGGGGACGGCGTCCGCAGAATTCTTCGGCAGGCGGCGGACCAGCTGAGTAACAAACTTTCGCACGCTCAGCACCTCGATGAGGTCACATGGACCACCAAGAACTGGCACGGGCTGCAGATGCAGCGCTTGTCTGTCGTTCTCCACACCGCCGTGGGCGTGGCGTGGCAGACGGTGAACGAGCTAGGTGCTAGCGTGCGGGGACAGCGGCATTGTGCACGGAGCTAAGTGCATTGCCGTTCTTAACGGAGTCGCTTAGGCGGCTCCGGTGGTGTGCCGGTGATAGTACTAGCACGCGCCAGTTCGCACCTGTGTCGAGCCTGTGTGCTGTGAGAGAGAGTTGTCTTGTTTAAATTCTTCTACACTGGGTGCGTGTGACACGATGAGAAGAGAGTGCAAGATTTTCGCACAAGGTGAGTTCCCGCCAAGGAGATTTCTTTTGTTATATTTTTGCTCTCTGGCGTAGAGAGCAAGCAAGCCCACTCAACCCCAAGTACTCTCCACTTTACAGTGGTGTTTTTTCCACATCGCTCATCTGCTGCAGCCTCTGCTGGGGCGAAATGCGCGGGGTTGCGGCGCGATACCCTCGGATTGTGGCTCTGATGCCAGATGGGTCGACCGTTCGTAAGATTTGTGATGCGCATGGAGCTAACCTTGCGTCCATCGAGCTAACCTTGCGGGTGCTTGTGGGCTTCTGCGCAGCGGCGAATTGAGCCGGAGAGCGGTGCAGCACGAGCGGCAGGAAGGCGTGCCTGAATGAGGCGTCCCTCTCGACCGGATGGAAAAGAAATTTATTAAGGCGAAGACGAAAACACAATACTGGAATCGTAGATGGGATCTACGGTAGGGGCCCGGAGAAGGAAAAGAAAAAGAGAGTAGCGGCACTGTAGCGGAAGGAGTGGGAAAGAGGGAAACGGTCCGGCGGAAGGGGGGGCCCTCCAAAAGGCCAGCCTCGCTGTGTCTTCTAGTGTTAGGATCATCAGATAGTTGGGAGTCTCCGTGTTAGGATCATCAGAGGTGTCGAGGTGGCGTCGAGCGGTGTCGAGGTGGTGTCGAGCGGTGCTGGAGCGGTGTCGAGCGGTGTCGAGGGGTGTCGAGGTGTCGAGTTTGGCACACCAAGCTGCAGAACATGTGCGGGCCAGCGCCTAGCATGGTCCCAGCCTAGATGAAACCAACAACGTCCAGCGACCGCAAGTTTCCGCCACAGAGATTTTTTTTAGGGATTCTCAAATCGGTTCGGGCGGGGAACCGAGGAAATCAAAGACCGGAAATCCCGGACCGTCTTCCTCGTTTCCATCAATCGCCCACTGGCACCACTGCTCTACCCTAGGATCTAGGACCTATGCCATCGTCCCTGTCGCCGTGCTCCCGTGCAGCCCCGCAACCGGGACCGCGAGGCCGTGAGGGATCCAGTCGCCACCTCCAAGACCAACGCCGCGGCCGCGGCCGTCGACGCCCCCGAGGGCCTCGAGCTGTGTCCGTGCCGCATCCTCGGCCGCACGCAACCTCTCGAGCTCGGCAGTCATCTGATGGCACGGGAGGCGAGCGTTAAGCGACGCGTAGTGCACCGCCGGACCGTAGGGAGAGTGAGAAGGCGGCGGGTGCGGCACAGGTGGGCGAGGCTTCCGTTTGCGAGTGGTGTGTTGGAGGCGCGTGCCGATGCGGCACGGCGCTGCGCGCTGGCAGCCGCCGCGCGGTTGCGGCCAAGCTTGATCACGCTCCTCTCCTCCTCAGCCTCAGCGCGGGCGAGCGAGGCGCGCGCCAGCGAGAGCATGCTCGCCGCTGGCCACGCCAGCGCCGAGTGCACGCAGAGAGCCGCGCAGAGCGTGAGCAGCACCAGGCGGACGGACGTGCCTGCAAAGACGCCGGGCCGGCCGCGCGCGGAGCGATACTCGTCGTCGATCATGTTTCGTTGTGAACGCCGCTGTGGACGTACGAGTTAGACCCGAAAAACAAGAATTGGAACGCTCGACTTTTTTCGTTTCCGCGTTTTGTGCTTTTCGTTCTCACGAACTTTTCCTTTTTTCTGGCGGCCACCATCCAAGGAACGAGTCGATTAGTGTGCCCCCGGGCGTGTTCATATTTGTTGTTTAAGTTTATGTATGTAATAGACGCACAGTCAGCGCAAAAAACTCGTCACAATCTCTCGCGAGGGGCCCCGCCCGCCGGCTCCGCCTCCGCGTCTGCTGCCGCCGCCGCCGCCGCCGCCTGACTGCGGTCGCGAGGCGGCGGGATGGAGAGGACGATGGCTCCCACGACGAGCGCCGCGCCCGTGCACTCGTGGTAGGTGAGCGCCTCGCCCAAAATGAGGTACGCCCAGACGGCGCCAAAGACGGGCGTCATCGCAAACCTGCCACCACACGAGACCAAGTGAAGAGGAGGGGCGAGGGGCGAGGGGGGGGGAGGGGGGGAGGGGGGCGGCAGGAGGAGGGGCGGGCAGGCGCGCACCAGAGCTGCGCCTTTGGCGCCGACGCCTTTCGCTGCCCGTTGGACTGGAACCAGGTCGCTCCCGCGCCGGAGAGGAGGGAGGAGGCGAGGAGGAGGCCTGTGCATTAAGGCGCGTGCGCACGAGGCGTGGGAAGGCGGCGCACGGCGAGGGCGAGGAGGAGCGAGGCGAGGGGAGCGAGGCGAGGAGGAGGGAGGGGTGGTGCAAGGCTGGGCTACTGCGGCGGGAGGCCCCCTCGGCGGTCTCTCGGCGGTCTCTCGGCGGTCTCGCCGAGCTGCTGCGGCGTGAAACCGTTCGCCCAAGTGACCAGCTCGGCGAGGACGGCGTCTGCAGGCTCGGCGAGGCCGCCCGCCTGCTCGGGCAAGGGGGGGGCGTCTGCAGGCGAGGGCAAGGGGCGGCGAGGGCTGCGGTGCAGTGCTGCACTGAAGGGGGGGGGGTCTGGGCTGGGGGCAAAGGGCGAGCGGTGAGGGGGGACGGGGGAGGGGGGGGGGGGCGCCTGCTCTGGCAGCAGCTCGTGCACGGCTTGCGTCTTGTCGACCAAGCCGAGGAAGGCTGCGGCGCAGCCGGCCTGGCCGACGAGGCGGCCGACGGCGATGTCGTCGGGCGGGTGGTGGCGGAGGTGCGAGCTGAGCCGCACCTCGGAGCGGAGGGAGGGAGTGCTCGGGAGGGAGCGGAGGAGAGGGACGGCTCAAGCGAGGTGGGACGGCCGTCTCCCGCGGCACCTTGCTCGCCGCATAGCAGAAGCTCGCCGCCAGCATCGTGCCCTCGCCGCCGCCGACGCTCGCCGGCAGCGACTGCGGAGCGGGAAACGCCGGGCGGCGAGTCGGCGGGTGAGAGCGAAGCGTTGCGTGACTGGCGAGAGCAGCGACGCGAGTGTCTCGGGCGTGTCTATGACGTGTCTCGGACGTGTCCCGCACCTGCGGCAGCAGGCCCACGTCAGGGACGAGGGCCCAGCAGGACGCGATCAGGCCAAGGGCGCAGCCGGCCCACGTCCGCGCGCTCACCTCCCGCTCCTGTGCGTTCGCTCCCGCCAGCGCCGCCAGCGCCGGGGTGATCACGTTGACAGTCGAGTACAGCACCGCGGCGGTGAGCGCCGGGATCTGCGAGAGCGAGAGCGTCTGCAGGAAGGTGCCCAGCCCTCCGAGGATACCAAGCTCGAGCGCCTGCGAGGGTCTGAATACGGCTAAACACAGCGCAACACAGAACGACGTGTCCTCTCGCGCTCTGGTCGGGGAAGAGGGTCTGTCCTCCGCATCTAGGCTCGAGCGCCGCCACGTAGACGCTCGCCGGTACACGCCGTTCCAGCTGCTCCGACCACGCCATCGACGCCGCCTCAGCGGCCGTGACGTAGCGCCGGAGGAGCGTGAAGCGCGGCGTGGTCGCGAACAGCGCGGAGCACGAGACAGCGGCCATGATTATGAAGCGGAGAAGCACAACGATGCTCGGGTCGAGCGGAGGGCCCGCCGAGTAGAGCAGCTTGACGCAGGTCGGATAGGTGCCCCACAACGCCGCGGCTCCCACTAAGAAGCTCAGTGTTTGCAGGTCGAGCGCTGAGTCCGCGTCGTCGAGCCGGACCTCGGAGCTGGCTACGCTGCCGCTGCGCGCCAGAACATTGGCGGCGTGCCAGGCGGGGGCTAGCGCAGGCGCGGGGAGCCGCATATACATCGATGCGCGATGCCGGGCTCGACGATCCAGCAGGAAAGGGCACTGAATCGCCAGTGCGACCGAGTTCTTTTTTTGAAATGATGAATCTTGTCGAATCTCCGTTATGTTTCGATTTTCCGAAGTCCTCTGTTCACATAAACGCACAACCCCGGGCCTCTGTTCACAGACAGATAGGTTGATGTCAAGTGGGGCGGCTATCGTGGTTGGCGGCTATCGTTTGTGTCGTGCGTCTATGCGCGCTTTCGCCCTGCTGCTGCTCGCCCTCCTTCAGTCTCCATGCTCGTGCGCTGGTGTGCGCGGAGCTCGCAAGCGGGCGCGACGAGACGCGGAGCAAATTGCGGCGGCTGCGGCGGCCGGCGAAAGTCTTGACCCTCTCGGCTACTATCGATACAGTTGGCGGCCGCCGGTTTAGAAGTGCCGCAGGAGAGAGGAGGAGGCAGAGTCTGGTAAGAGTCACGACCCGGAACGCCAGATAGGCCGATGAGTGCGGTACAGAGATGCACGCCGATTACGATGGCACGCGCGCGTGGAACTGGGGTCTCGACCCATCGCAGCACGTTGCGACTGCCGCCGAGTGCTGCGCCAAGTGCCGAGCGCACGTGAAGTGCAACTCGTGGGTCTTTTGCCCCGAGGAGGCAACTGGCCACACGCTTGCAGCGTGGATCAGACTGTGCGGAGAAGCACCTTCCCTTGAGTTTTAGGTTTGCTTCGCGCCCGACGCGCACAAGCACACGCGCGGCGAGTGCTGGATGAAGGACCAGCGCGACCCGGCCTCGCCGTCGGTCAACATGCGCGGTGCGTACACGTCAAAATATCGCGCACGGCCCGGCCACCACCATGCGCCGCCGATGGTGCACTGGGTCAGTGGGACGGTCCGGCTCAAGCGAGCCGCTACTAACGGCACGTGGAGCGGGCGAGCGGTGTGGTGAGTGAGTCAGCCCCAACTCTCGCCGCTCTTCTAGTGTGTCGGGTAGTTAGTGACCAGGGGCCGGATTGTCGATTGAAGATCCCTTTATTTATTTAATTACTCACACCTCACAGCTCGGAGTACGGGGAGCAGTGCTTGCCATTTACTGGTATAGCCCCCCAGAACAATCAAACACTCTCCGGACAAAACAATCAAACGGTGGTAAAATTTACCACCCGACTCGGGGCAACCCCGGTAAAACCCGGGTATACCTGCAAAAGTTCAGGTATACCCGAGAAATACCCGGGTTCGACGTCGCGCTCGCCCTATTGCTATTGCAATACAACCAGGGCCCCTGTGCCAACTGCGGCGCGACCCGCCTGCTCAAGTATGCGCACCGCACCATGTGCTGCCGCTGCAAGTGCCAGAGAGTGGCCGCGGCGCTGCGCCAGGCACGGCTTGCGGTGCGGACGACGCGGCTGTTCCAACGTTCATCTTCAAGATCGAGGCAGTGCTCGGCATGCGCTTCTGCGATCCGAGCAGCTCATTGCAAAGAAGCGGCGCAATAAGCTGGCTGCTGCCGACAAGGCCATTTGCTACCTCACGCGCGGCAAGTGCAGAAGTTCAGTGTGGACATGACGAGGGCTACACCGACACAACAGCGCACTGCGGAAGCATCGTCAGGCGGAGCAGCAAGCAACAAATGCGGCAGTTGCCGAGTTGAGGAGGGCCTGGAGCAGGCGGCGTAGCTAGACTGTATGGCTAGATTGGGGTTGAGCCCACCCAGTTTGCCGTACTCATATGTGCTAGTCCTAGGAATGCGGTTGCTCATGACCATCTGCTCGCTCGGCGCCGAGTGGAAGGACCCCTCAAAGATCCCGGTGAAGGAGATCATCGAGGAGTGGTGGGCGCAGAGCTCGCGCAGGCGCTACGAGAGCCAAGTGTGGAGCACCTGCCTTGGCGGAGCTGGTCGGCGCTGCGGACAGCGGTGATGGGGAGTGGCGGCGGCGGCGGAGCCCCCATGCCCCAGGTTGCTGGCCCTGCGGCTGGTGCGGGGGAGGAGGCGGGCGATGGCGATGGCATCATGGCCGCCACGCTCTTCTCCTGGATGGGGGGCGGTCGTAGTGGCTAGTGGGGGGTCCACCGGCGGCCGGCGCCCAGCCGGCCGCTGCGCCCGGCTGGTGGGCGGTCGGTATTGTGCTCGGTATTTTACCATACCACTCTCTGCTCATACCATACCACTCCCTAGGAGAATCAAATAAGTGGTAAATACCACTCATTTACCAGTAAATGGCAAGCACTGACGGGGAGAGATCAGAGCAGGAGGAATCTAGGACTGCGCGAGAGGTGGTGGCTGGTGCACTGGCCGCCGTGCGGCACAGGACGGTGGTTGGGAGTTGCGAGAGTACGACACGCGCGCCCCTGGAAGCTCCGCTGCCATGTGTCCGCCCCGCCTTCCCTTCGTGCGCCCAACTAAGAAGCCCGCCCGCCGCGCCGCCGCAGCTCCGCCTCGAGCTGCTCGGTCGAGACGCGCTCGAGCGCCGCCGTCCCGCCGATCGTCGGGGTGCAAGACTCGCGGAAGCTGTCGGGGTGCAAGACTCGCGAAGGCCAAGCGTCGCCGCCGCCGGCCCGCCGATCGTCGCTGCCCCACCCGTCATCGCGCCAGTCATGATTGCTGCCGCGCCGGTAAGGTTCGCTGCCCCGCCGGTCATGATCGCTGCCCCGCCTGGCATCGCTGTCGAGCCGGTCGTCGCCGCCCGGCCGGTCACGACCGCTGACGCGCCAGCGTTCGCTGTCCCACCTGGGATCGCTGGCGCACCGGTCGTCGCCGCCGCCGGCCCGCCGCTCATCGCGAGTCCTCCTGTCATCGCGCCTCGAGCTGCGGCTGCGGCTGCGGCTGCGGTCGCGGCGGTGGCCCTGCGGCTCGCCCGACGACGGCGGCGGCGGGGCGCCGTGTTCACGCCTCTTCCGCGGGTCACGAGGGAAGGCCCAGGTGCGCTCGCGGTCATCGAGGTGTACCTTGTACACGCTGCGCAGCTCATCGAGCAGCCGGTCGGCACCGATCCAGTCGTTGCGCTTGCGGCAGTCCTCGCGCTTCTCGAGAAGATGTAGGATGCGCCGATTGTCGTCGCGCTCCTCGCGCGTGGACGCCGGCACCGCCGGCCGCCACGGCAGTTTTGCGGGGTTGCGGTCGCGGCGCTCGCCCTCCCTGTCGTCAATCTTTTTGTTCCCCCACGTCCACATGCCCATGCCCGGGCCAACGCCGCCCGTCCAGACGTGGATGCGTGAGCTCGCGCCCTTGGCTTCACGTGCCGCTCCTCGCTCGGCGTCCCTGGCCGCGGTGGCAGCGGCCACGGCGTCCGCATTGTCGGCGCCGCCCACCTCCCGCACTGTAGCCATGGCGCCGACGCCCGTGAGCACGAAACGCTCCGGGAAGCTGCCCATGTAGTGGACGAGTCGTTGGAGGCTGATTTCGCCAACGGTTTTGGCTAAATGGCACTTGATCATCAAAATCGTCGGCTGCTGGCCCGGCTTTTTCATGGGAACATTCCGCAGCGCGTCCAAGATGTATGGGCGCGGCTCGTTGAGGTGGCCACCAGCTCGAGCATCGGCGAGCTCCGCGTCAAACGCCTCGCTCCCGAAGCCTCGCATCTGCATTTGGCCCAGCCATGTTCGAACAGGGTCGCCCATGGTGCACGCCCAGCAAGCGCAGCAAGGACGCAGAGAGAAATGAAGGCCCCCGGCTCACAAGTCCGGCTCACGCGCCCCGATCTGACCCTCTACCGCACTGATCACTTCCGCCCCCTTGCTCCCAACCCATCCACCTCGCCTCGGGCCGCGCCGCGCGATCTCGGTCGATCTCGCGCAATCTCGGGCGATCTCGGGGCCGCGCCGCGCTATCTCGGGCGATCTCGGAGCGAGCGTCGCTCGGCGGACGGACGTGCGGGCCGGCCTCGCTATGGCCTAGGGTCGCTCTAGCCAGGCTGCTGCACGCGTCCAGGCGACCATGCGCGGGCAGCTCAGGCAGTCAGTTGGAGTTGCTTCGATGCACTGATACGCATCCTGCTTCTAATAATTAATACTAGCTATAGGACATGCATTGGGACTTCCAGCGTGCAGCGAACGGAGCAGCGCCCGTTGCTTCGGGCCTCGCGGTTCTTCCATAGCGCTCTTTTCCTCCCGTCTGGCGATTCGAGCCGATTAGCCATTTTTACGCGAATTGCACGAATTGCACGCGAAATGCAGACACAGCGCGATGCCGCGCCGGTCTCTGAGAAGACGGACGTGGAAGGGGCAGCGCCTCCGGCGCCAGCGTCGGCCAAGCCGAAGCCAGTGCGTGCGCGCTTCGACCACCTCGATGGATGCCGCACCTTTTGCAGCTTCTGGGTGGTGATGGAGCACCATGCGTCGACCCTCGAAACTGGAGACTACGCTGGTGGCCACTTTGCGCCGCTCTTTTCGAAAGGCAACGCGCCCGTCTCGTACTTCATCGTGCTGAGTGGCTTTGTGATGTCCTATGCCTACGGCGAGCGCGACTTCGACGGGGTTGCGCAGACTAGCTTTTACATCCGCCGCTTTGGCCGCGTTGGGTTGACATACTACTGCGCCTTGCTCTTCCAAATGGGTGTGACGCTCCTCTTTAATCCATACTACCGCGAGCACGGCTGGCGTATCCTCCCCCCGACGTGCAACTACGGCGGCTTCGAGCACAACCTTTTCGGGTGGGGTGAGGAGGGCGAGTCAAACTGCTCGCCGACCAAGGGCCTGCTGACCAACCTGCTGATGGCGCAAGCGTGCTTCAACCAGTACGGCATGATCAACGCAACGAGCTGGACCGTGTCAACGCTCGTTTGCCTCTGGTTCGCCTACCCTTATCTCCAGCCATGCCTGAGATCTGCCAGCAATCGGCAGCTGCTGTTCGTCGTCGTACTGTCGGTCGTGCTCTGTTGGGCCGTCACGCTCTTTGTGTTGTCCTCGCGTGTGTTGGGCCCGGCTGCCGAGCAGTGGTGGGTCGGATACGGACCGACGGATCCAGGCTGGCAGAAGTTGGCGCAGGTGCTGCACCTCTCGCCCGTGCTCCTCTTCCCAGAGTACCTGCTCGGCCTCTCGAGCGGCCTCCTTTGCCGCCGAGGCTGGCACAAGGAGATGTACGGATGGAGCGCAGTGGCAACGGTCGCCGTGCTTTTAGTGCCTGTTCTCGCTTCTCTCCCAAACTCGGCGCTCCCCGGCGGCAACGGCTGGATCGGAGTCATGCCCGACTGCGCGCCCGACGAGCCGATCGACGTGGGCGTGGTGCACGGCCGCTGCTCGGGCAGGAGCGTGTTTTACGAGGCGGTGCCTGCGCCTCTGTTTGCGCTGTGGATGTACGCTTCGTGCACGGCTGTCGCCCGCGCGACGGAGCTCGGGCAGGTCAAGGGTGCATCCTTTGGGCCCGTAATCGACTTCGTTTCTTCGCCAGTCCTCTCTGGCATCGGCAAGGTCTCCTTTCAGGTGTACTTGTTCCAAGAGTCGTGGGCAAAGATCTTCAAGGAGCTGACCTCGCACGTGCCCACACTCGATGGCGTGCCAAAGGCGAGCGACGAGGGCGACACGAGCGGGATCTTCAACTTGCCGCGCGACTCGCCCAACCAGGCCGTCTACTTCGTCACCTTTCTGCTCTGCCTGTACACGTTTGCGGCCGCATTTGTGAACTACGTCGAGGACCCGGTCATGGTCCATGTGATGCGGTGGATGGCGAGGGCCATCAAGAGCAAGGCGGTAGTCAACTGGTTCTGTGCCGCGGGCGCGGTGATGGCGCTGCTCTACTGGGGCATGGCCCTCGGGCACACGGGCTGGCTTTGCTACCTGAGCGTGTATGGAGTCAGCTCGGTGCCGTTGCAAGCCCGTGGCATCGAGCGGGACTTTCCGTGGGTAGATGGCGATGTCAACGACTGACAAGCCGCATTGTCTACGGGGAGCCTAGAGCGCTAGGGTCGTCCCTCTCTCGGGTCCTTGCCTAGGTCTCCCCCTGCGAAAGATTTTTTCAACGAGGTAAGGGGTAACGGAAAGGGAAAGGGGTAAGAGGGGTGCGGAAACGCACTTCTCCATTATAAATAAAAGGGGTCGATCTCTCGTCAAAAAGTTCTCTGACGAGAAGGATATCGTAGTGCTTACGTTAGTGGCAGTGGACACGTGTGTGCCCCCGCCCGTGCACGATATCGTCTTGGCGTGGGCTCAGCGCCAGGGGGGCAGGGTGTATATGTATGTAAAAAGGAGAGCGCAAAGATTTCGTCAGGGACGGGGAACTGGAAACGAATCGGAAACGAATCGGAACCCGGAAACGCATATGACAAGAACGTCGAATAGGAACGAGATGGACATGGACGTCCGATCGAACCGCAATCGCAGTTCGCGAGGGTCGGGAAACTGGAAGTGGCCCGCATGTCGGAGCGTGCGCGGCACACGGGAGACGGGGTGGCGCGGCGAAAGGCGCACCAGGAGCGGCAGCGCGACGAGCGCGAGCAGCGGGAGGAGGCCGACAGGGCGGCGGGGACCGTCCTGCCGCCCGAAGAGGGCCGGCGTCGAGTTGGTGAGCGCCGACGACGTGTTGAAGGGTGTGGCCGAGACCGGCCCGAACTACACGCTGCTGCCGAAGCGGGAGCGGAAGGCAAAGCGGCGGCGGCGGCGGCGGGCAGCCGCCGAAGCGTCGGGCGAGAGCGCGCGCGAGGATGGCATGGATGGGCTCCACGAGGCGGCGGCGGCGACAGCCGGGGCCACAGGGAGGCCGTGTCGGGCGACGCGAGGCAGCGGGTCGATGCGAGAGGCGTCGGACTCGGAGTGGGAGCTCATAGACGTCGGGGGCGAGACTGAGTACTGGGACACGCGAGTGGGGGGCGATGAGAACTACCTGGGCGAGGGCGCCTTCCGGGTGGAGGCGGTGCGGGGCGAGCGGCGCGGCCAGTCCGGCGCTGTCGAGTACGAGATCAAATGGGAGGGCTACGCGTCGGACGAGAACACCTGGGAAGAGGCGGAGGACGTGTCTGCCGATCTCGTCGCGGAGTGGCACCGGGAGCGAGCGGCAGCGGCAGCGCGAGGCGACATGCAGGTGGAGGCCGGCGGAGCGGGGGAGGGTGGCGCGAGCTCCGGTGGCGTGGGCACAGCGGGTGAGAACACCACCGGAGCCGCGCGCCCAGGCTGCAGCAGGGTGCTGCGCAGCGCGTTGGCGGACGCATTGGCGGAGGAGTGGGGAGAGGAGGAGGCCCTGTTGGGCGACGTCGAGGTGCCGCTCCTCTCGCCGCACGGGCCCGACCTTTCGAAGCATCTGCGACACCTGCGCCGGCTGCTACGCGAGTTCCTTGCGGAGGAGGCGAAGGAGGGGACGGGCGTGCCGATGCAGTGCACCCCGACGGGCCAGCATCCGACCATGCGCTGGACGATCAAGTTCGGGCGATGGCTGGCCACCACGCGGCTGCGTGTGTGTATATCAAGAACGCTTTTGTGTGCGCGTTGTGTGAGTGTGTATGTGTGCCTTTAGAGTCTAATGTGATGCACACAGTCGACACACAAACATCACGTGGTCGGATGTGGTGCCTCCCTGCTCCCACTTAGGTATTAAGGTATATAGGATACATTCAGACGACGGCGGCGCCCCCCGCGGTCCGCGCACCGGCCACCGCGGAGCAGCGCCGAGCGCGCCCCGCGTGCGCCCCTTCCAGTTCCACCCCGCCGCACTAGCGGGGGGGTCGGGGGGGGGGGGGGGGGTCCAGGGGACTCTGTCACTCTGCCACTCTGTGTGAGCACCACACTACTCTGGGATAGCTTTAATTTTGTTCCTTCAATTCCGCAGAGAGGACTCTCGTGTTCCTGTTCGTTTCGTTTTGTGCTGGCCGCTGGACTCCTAAAAAGTATGTGATATAAGAAGGAGAGCTTTTGTCATAGCTTACAGAGATTAGGGGGCGCCGTGTACGTGACACGTTTGTGGTTTGACGCGTTTTGTTGCAATGAGGGCTTACGGAACAAACAAAAGCCGGTCAGCGAGAAAAGAAAATGGGGCCACGAGGGGCGAGAGAGGCTATGAGACGCCCGCGCCGAGGTCGCGCATGAGGCGGGCGAGCGGCGTCGCCAAATCGCGCCGCGTCTTTCGGACGAGCGGCTCGAGCTCGCGCTTGGCGAAAACGCAGACGCCGTCTCGCAGGCCCTCCGCCGCCTCGGGGGCGCAGAGCGCAACCACGAGCCGGCCGAGCTCCGCCTCGGGGGCGGCGAGCAACTCGCAGAAGCAAACCTGCCAGAAAAAGCGCGCCCGCTCCGTCAGGTCGTGCCAACGCACAACCTTGAGCACGTCGACCGGCAGCGCGGCGCGCAGCAGCAGGGCCGCCAGCATCTTGGCCGTGTTTGCCGCGCGATGGAGCGGCGCCTCGTCGAGGGCCTTGAAGGCGTCCCACAGCGCAAAGTGGAAGGCGAAGCGGTACCTAGCGGACGTATCGTGGGCAGTCATCGACGTGTCCCGTCAAGGCCGAAGCGGGAGCACCGAGCGCACTCGCGGTGCGACGCGCAGAGCCGCGCCGCGAGCAGCGCGTAGAAGGCGTTGTAGCCCGCCTCCGCGCCGCAGCAGTGGAGGAGGACACGGACGACCTCTGCCCGCTGCGCACGCTTCAGGCCGAGCTTCCCCAGCCGCTCCGACGCGTGCACATAGTCGTCGGCGCCCATGATTGCCACAAAGATGCTCTTGCGCACGTCCGTGCTCAGCCGCTGCTCCGAGGCCAGCGACAGCAACCGAGACTCGGAGCCAGCGGCTGCGCCACCCGCGCGCCGGCCGGCCCCGCCGCTCTCGCCCGGTGGGCCGCCAAGGCCGGAGCCCGCGCCCGCTGCCGACGCGCCGCTCGCGCGTCCCGCCCAAGCAGAGCCGACCACCCACCAGCGCCCATTCTGCTCGGCGTGCAAGAGCTCGTCCCAGCCCGCCTGCAGCGCTGGCGCGGCGCTCTTGTCCGGACAGAGCTTGCGCAGCGCCTTTTGCAGCCGCGCGACCGCGCCGCCGTCCGCCGCCGCGCGGAGCCGGTTGTTCTTGAGCTCGCTGAGCGTCTGCGCAAAGACGCGCCGGCGCGCCGAGCCAGCCGCCCCGCCCGCCGCCGCGCCAGCAGCCAGGCTGTGGTGCAGCTTGAGAATCTCGCCGAGGGCGGAGGGGTCGTCCGACCGGAGCTGAGGGCCTATGCGGCGGGTCGTGGACGCGTCATTGGACGTGCGGACGCTGACTGCCCGTCCGGCCGGAGCGGCGGGCCGACGGCAGTGAGGAGCTTGAGCAGCAGCAGCAGCTCGAGCTCGCCGGCGTCGGAGGCGTCGCCAGCGGCGGCGGAGCCGTCGGAGGCGGTGGCGGCGGCGGCGGTCGGCGGCTGCGAGTGGGCGGCTGCGATGAGGCGGCGGACGAGCGCGTAGAGGAGGGAGCAGTGGACGGCGCCAAGGTTGTAGAGGTGCGAGAGGAGCAGCACGGCGTTGGCGCACGCGTTGGAGCGGCGGGCGGCGTAGTCGTCCTCGAAGCGACTGACGAGCGCCTCGACGAGGAAGGCGGCGAGGTGCGGCGCCGCCGGCGAGAGCGCGCGCACGAGCGCGGCGTTAGTGAGCGCGATCTGCGGCAGCACGTGCTCCTCGGACAGAGCCGCGCCGAGCACGGCCGTCACCATCTCATCTACCATCGGCCGCTGCCTCCCCTCGCCGAGGAGCTTGGCAACCTCGGCGCTGATCGACGGCAAGTTGTTCTCGCTCAGCCGGTTGAGCAAGCCGCGCAGCTGCCGCCCCCGCGCCGCGTCGCCGCCGTCGGCCGCCCGCAGCGCAGGAGGGACGTAGCGCGCTTTCCCGGAGGAGGACGGCGCCACCGCCGAACCTCTGGCAGCCGGCGCACCAGCGCCCTCGCCCGCCTTGCCGAGGCCACCCGCCGCCGGCGCCTCGTCCACCTCCTCCCCACTCGCCTCCCCACTCGCCTCCTCCTCCTCCTCCTCCCCTTCCTCCTCTCCCTCCTCCATCTCGCTCTCCTCCTCCATCTCGCCCTCCTCGTCGCCCTCGTCGCCCTCCCCTCCCTCAAAGTCGAATAGCCCCTCCAGGCCGTCCTCCGCCTCGCTGCTCTCCCCCTCCTCCTCCTCGCCCTCCTCCTCGCCCTCCTCCTCCTCCTCCTCCTCCTCCTCCTCCTCCTCCTCCTCCTCCTCCTCCTCGCTCTCTCCATCTGGCCGCACCACCGGAGCCTCTCTCACCGCCGGCCGCACCGCCTTCCGGCTTTGGCCGGCGAGGGCTGCGCCGTCGCCTTCCGCCCCGCTGCGCTTGGCCGCCGCGAGGGCGCCACCCGAGGCTGCGCCGTCGAGCGAGTCGAGCTGCGAGAGGAAGCCGAGCCCATCCGCCTCCATCTCCTGCCGCAGCCGCTTCTCGGCACGCACGTCGCGGTTCGCCTTGCCGCCGCCGCGCACGCCGAGCCGCTTCTCGAGCATGGCGATGTGCTCGTCGTGCGCGTCGAGCGGCTCGAGCGGTGGGGCAGCGGCGGAGCGCGGCTGGAGCGGTGCCCGCTGCTTCGCCGGCCGGCGGGCGTCGCCGCGCGATCCGGCCTTGTTGGGCGCTGCGGCGGCGCTGCGGGACGGCTGCGGCGGCGGCGGCACCGCTTTGACGGCTCGCTGGGCCGCCGCCGCCGGACCATCGTTTGCACGGCCAGAGTTATCGCCCCGCCGTGGCTTGACCACGCCCTGCTTCCGCAGTCGCCGCTCTTCCTTCCGCCTGTCTTTCCGCGAGGGCTCCCGCCGCCGGTTGAAGCTCGCGCCGTCGCCGCCGTGCTGCGCCAGCTCCTCCTGCAGCTTGGCTGGCAGCCTCAGCGAGTCGGCGTTCTTTTCTCTTCCGGTCTGGCGCCGCTGAAAACGGTGGGGCATCGTGCTGCAGGGGAGAGCGCGTGCCGGGCCGGGGGAATTTTCTTTTTCCTGTGCGGGACCCCGCCGCCTCCTTCTTCTTTCTTCTTGAGGAAGAGCGAGATTTCGGCGCGCGGAGGCCGTGTCAAAATCGACTTCAGACAGGTTGTCCGCGCGGTCGCCGTGTGGCGTGTGGCACAGCGCAGGCACAGCGCTCAGCGGTGTTGCGGCGGTGACCGGTCGGTGTCATCTCTCACACGCTCACACCGTCACACGTCGGTTTTTGTCATCAAGCGTACAAGTAAGAAGCTGCCTGCAGTGGACTACGTGATATCTTCACATCCCCTCCCCTCCGCCCCATCGCTCCCACCCCCCTCCACTGCCTCGGCGAGCATCGACATGTCCGCCAGCCAGACGGCAACTTCGGTCGCCGCCTCGTCCGAAGGCGCGACATTCCCACACGGCTGCGCCACCGGCGGCGGCATCGGTAGCGAGCGGACCGACGCCGGCGCCCACGCCGGCACGCACCAGGCGGCTGGCGGCCACGGGGCCGCCGGCGTGAGCCGGGAGGGGCCGCCACCTGCGGGAACGTCTCGGAGCTTCGGAGACGGCTCTCTGAGACGGCTCTCTCGGGCGGGGGAGGCCCTCGCCTGCGGGCGGCGCGAGCTGTGCGGGGTGGACTCTCCGCAGGACCTGCCAGCCGCGCCGCGAGTACAGCCCCTCGAGAGGGGGGCGGTACCCGCCGCTGGCGGACTCGCTCGTCGCTGCGGTCGAGCCAGCCTCTCGGGGCGGCGGCGCGAAGCTCCACACCTGCAGTGAGACGTGGCCGACAGATCCGATCCGAGCTCTGTCGCCGAGATCGGGCGGTTGCGGCGACGTTGCACCGGAAAGGCAAGCAGCGGCGGGCGGCCATCGCCCCTTCCCTCCTCTCCGTGCGATGCGAGGAAAGCGCGCGCCGCACCCGCCGCGCCACGCGGCAACACGACGCCCTGCCGGAGCGCGCAGAGCACCTCCAGGCCTGCGGACGGCCCCGCCGCCTCGGCGCACGCGCGGCCAGCCGCCGCCCAGCGCGCGACGGGCGACTCTCCTGTCAGCAGCAGCAGCAGTGATGCGAACGGCGCCTCCTCACACACCGCCCAGAGGCGCGAGTGTCGGCCCGCCTCGAGGGCTGTGCACTGCCGCCAGCGAGACGTTTGCCGCCGCCGCGATCGCCGCAGCCTGGGGAGGCGTCGGAGGGGAGCTGAGCGGCCATCTGGCAACCCAGTGCGGTAATTCGGCAGCGGAAGCTTCCCGGAAGGCACCTGCTTGCGCCGCGGCTCGCTTGCGAGCTCATCGAGGACGACGTGTGCAGAGCCTCGCTGGTTGCGGGCCGAGGCGACGACGGCGTCATACCCGCCGGGTCCGTCGAGCAGGTGGACCAGGCAGACACGCATCGGGCCGTGCGGAACAGGCGCCTCGCTGCGAACCGCTGAAGCCGTCGACAGCGAGGGCGTTTCCGTGCCGGAGACACGGGCAGCAGCCTCAGCTTGTGCACGCTTCGGATATGTCTCCTCGGTCGACGACGTGCTGCAGGAGCGCTGAAGCGCCTCGAGGCGACGCTCGAGGGATCTCGCCCGTGAACGCTCGATCCGAAGCGCCTCGAGCAGCACAGGCACGGCGGGCGACGGCGCGTCGGACGACGGGACGGCGGCGGCGGCGGCGTAGCAGAGCATATACACTTGAGAGAGAGCTGCGCAGGTTGGCGCGGCTGTCTGCCTGTGCCAGCCGCTCGCGGAGCGGGGGGCCCCGGGGCGAGCTGCCGTCGTGCGCGCTGTTTTTCTTTTTTTGCGATTTTCCTAAAGCAAACGAAGCTTTTCGTCTTCGGTCCCCGCGGGAAGCCCCGCGCATAGGACAACCACGTCTGTCCCACACACGCACAGACGCGCACATACATCATGCTCGGGCACCGCCCCCCACAGTGTAGTGGTGATGTGGTGTGAGTGTGAGTGAGTGAGTGAGTATTCTTGATACGAAGCCACGACGACACACACCAGTCGACTCGCATCGGTTGCCTCCATGAACGGCGGAGCTATTCTCGCGTCCACACCACACCTGGCTCCAACGTGGACACGCCCATAGCTGGGGACACTACTAGGTCACGCATGGCTTCAGAAGTTTTATCTCTGGGCCCCGAAAGGCATCTCTAGCAGCGTCGTTACGCATGCTCCCTCCCCTCCTTGGGGTTGGGCGCATGCGCCTCACATCTCGCCAGAGCATTAAGCCCTTGGTGTGCGGTTGGTGTGAGCCCACACAAGTACTAGCATAGAGTGCACACCTGCCTTGGCGGGTGAGGGTTGTAAGAATCAAAGCGGTGTTTCTCTTCTTCAACACACGCGGCCAAGCTCAACGCTTTGCAACCCCCGGTCTCCCTCTCCCGTCGCCATCCTCCTCCCAGCCCGCTCGTGGGATGACGAGCACGAGCAGCGCCGCGAGGAGCTGCGTTGCGGCGCAAACGAAGTACGGCAGCTGCGGCCGCCCGATCCGCACGCCGACGGCGAAGAGCTTGCCTGTTTCAAAGCCGTGGTCGTGAAACGGCGTGGTGTCTCTTCTCGGCCCCGAGGCCAGCGGCGAGCTCGCCAAAGGCGTACAGCGCGACGATCCGCGTGACGGCGGCGAGGTTGTGGCAGCTCGACGCCAGCCGACCGCGCCTAGGAAGGATCGGAGGAGGCTCAGGAAGGGTCCACGTCTAGCAGCCCGGTGCGCCAGCTGGCCGCACCCGATGCCGGCGGTGGCGCCCACCTGCATGAGCCGCGCCATGACGGCGGCCGACATGCAATCCTCGGCAGCGCAAAAGGCAACCGAGCCGAATGCGAGCGCCGAGGAGGAGGAGGCGAAGAGAAGGTTGGCGAGGGCGGTGCTCAGCGTTGCCGCGAGCGTGTGCAGCTTGGCGCCGAGCAGCCGCACCGACGCGCCCGTGAGGAGGCCTCCCGCCGAGGACGCGACGCCAACCTGTGGAAACAGCTGCAGCCGTGAACGGCTCCTCGCCGGCCGCGCGCGCTGAGAGAGTTGCGCCCACCGCCGCGCCGTAGGCAGCAGTGGTGCTCGTCCCCCAACCGCGCGCGTGGGCGGAGTAGAGCTGCCACACGTCGCCCTCGCCTAGCACAGCACGCGCAGCCGCGATGTAGCCGGGAGGGTGCCGGCGCAGAGGGCCGCAGCGTCGCCCTCGCCGTCGTGCGCCGCCTGCAGGGCGAGGATGAGGGCGAGGAGGGCGAGGCGGCGCCCCTGCGCGCCCTTCTGCGTGAAGAGCGAGAGGAAGCCTATAGGGCAGAGGGTCCGAAACGGCTCGCGGGAAGAGTGGCTGTTTGCCGGACGAGCGAGCACGTGCGCCTCCCGGCGACGAGTCGCGCGCGAGCTGCCGCTTTGAGACGCGGCGGGCAGCCGGCTCCGCCGACTCGCGCGTGCCCACGAGAGCGATGCCGAGCGAGAGGGCAGCCAGGGCGGCCGAGGCGCCGTACGCCGCGCGGAGGGCGGCGGTGGAGACGGAGGCAGCGGACGAGGCGAGCGCCTGCGCGCCTCGAGCGAGGATGCCTCCGCCAGCGACCATGCCGACGGCATACGCCGCGCCCCAGGCGGCGGCGGAGCGACCCTCGAGGGCGGCGAGCGCGGTGCCGTCGTCCTCAAAGAGGTCGGCGCAGGAGGTGCCGACCAGCAGGAAGTAGCTCGACACGATCGCTCCCATGAGCACCTTTGACGCGACGAGCAGCGGCGCCGCCGGCACCGCCACGGCGACGAGCCGGAGCGCGAGAGCAGCGCAGGGGAGAGCGAGCAGAAGAGGGCGGCGGCCGACCTGGTCGGAGAGCGAGCCGAGCAGAGGCAGCACCTAGAGCGGGGACACACGCCGCCGAGTTGACCGCTGAGCCGACTCGCCGAGATCTCGCCAACTCGCCGAGATCTCGTCGGGATGCCGGGAGCGCACCGCAAAGTCGAGAGCCGCGCCCGCTGACGTGATCCGCGCGAGTGCCTCGGAGACCTCGTCGGGTGAGCCGAGCCGCGCCGTGAGCACCAGCGGCAGCGCCTGCGAGACGACCGCCTGCTCGTTCGGGGATGGCGCGCATCAGCGGCGATGTGCGTGCGTGCGTTGTTATCGTGTGTGTGTGTGTGTGTGTGTGTGTGTGTGTGTGTGTGTGTGTGTGTGTGTGTGTGTGTGTGTGTGTGTGTGTGTGTGTGTGTGTGTGTGTGTGTGTGTGTGTGTGTGTGTGTGTGTGTGTGTGTGTGTGTGTGTGTGTGTGTGTGTGTGTGTGTGTGTGTGTGTGTGTGTGTGTGAGCCACCTCCACGGCGATCAGGCTCGTCAGCGAAGCAAAGAGCGCGGCGACGTGCCGCCGACTCGCCTCCCGTGCCGGCGACGGCGACGGCTCCAGAGGCCTCGGACGCGGAGGCAGCGGCGACAGCGGCGACAGCGGAGGCGGCGACGGCGGCACGGCCGACGCCGTGACATGGCGGCGGGGATAGCGAGGCTTGCTGCAGACTGCAGCAGGAGAGGCGAGCGGGAGCAGGACAGGTTGGCTGAGTGGGCCGGCGAAACGTTGAGCCGTGCATTGCAGGCGCATGGAGGCGCCGGGCAGATGCCTGCCTCACTGCTTTACGGGTCGCCCAGGTGGCGAGCCCACCCTCCGTCGCCCTCCGCAGCGAGAATCATTTTTTTAGCCGACCGCTACCCAGTAGCAAAGGCACCCGCCATAAAAACGGTATGGCGGTGGAGTGCTCTCTACTGCCGCGGCGCCCCTGTCGGTTCGGAGGCGCCCGGCGGCCGCGCGCTTGGCGGACTCAGGGCCGGTGCTTTGACGCAGTATACTGTACTTCGAGGTAGTATATTGTACTTTTGAGTAGTATGGTACGGTTCCCGAGCCCGTTGGTGCCGACGTCGACCGGCTGCTCTCGCGGCGCCGAGGCGTGCCGCTTCGGTCACGTCTCGCGCGCTGCGAGGTGTCTTTTGGCATGTGAGCGCTGGCTAGAGACGCCAGGAAGCTCGGCTTCCATGCCTGCGACCGCGGGCGTGCGGGCGGGCACGCCAGGCTCGGCGACGCTCTGCGCAGGTCTTCGAGCTCGCCGCCCGCGACGAGCCAGCATGGCTCGTCGCTCGACGGGGAGCCTGCTCAGAATGCTCTCGGCATTCTGTACAGCCTCGCCAAGCTCTCTGGGAAGGTCTACAGGGCCAGAGCGGCCTGTCTCGGGCGCGATGGCGAGCTTAGTGGTACCACGACTACCAGCTCTCCGATCGGGCCGCCAGCAGCGGGCTCGCGCGGCGCGCCGCTCGACGGCAGACTGCTCCCCACCCTTTCAACAGCATCTTCTGCCTCGCTTCTCTCGCTGCGACCGCCTCCTGGGGCCTGCGCCGACCGCCTCGCTTCGCCAGCGCTGCCAAGTTGATCTGCCCGTCGAGGCTGCCGTCGATGTGCATGGTGAACCGGACGGTGGCCGCGTCGATGTGCTGGGCGTGTCCCATCAGCGAGCTGATGAAGGACGCCTCGCGCATCGTCAGCGGCTCGCCGCCCTTCATGCACCGCTCAGCATCGCGGAGGCGGCTAGCACTGTCGCGCTTGAATGCCGGCATTCAAGCGATCTCTAGGACCGTGCCTAGTGCGTACTTTTAGCTTACTGGGAGAAAAGGGAGAGGGGGCTAGGCCCCTAAGGGCCCTACGCGCGGCGTGAGAGCTCGGAAGCGAGCTTTGCACGGCGATCGAGGATGGCGCGGTTCACCCCCTTCACCGAAGCGATGGAGATGCGTTCCGCGTGGTGTGACACAAATGAGAGGCGGGAGTGGGGAGGGTACGCGGTGCGGTCAACGCCCGAGCGTTGAGCCTGGCGCGCAAGGCGGTTGATCTTTGCAACTTGCTGGCGGCGAGAAGCCGCCGCCGAATGTCTCGTGGAGAAGCAGGTTGAACTTGTTTCGTTTGGTGAAGATCCCATCATGGTAGTGGCCACGCTGTGACTTGACGTAGCCTTGGCCGGTGGTGTGGTCGAACGCCCGTTGACCACGGGAACCCGCGTTGCTTGCAGCCCATGTTTGCAAGGCGGGCGCGCTCTTCGGTGTTGCCGAAGGCGAACTTGTCTCCAACGGAGCCGGGGGTGCCTCCGGTGGCGGTGCGGCCGACCCCAACGGGCAAGCCACCCCGGAGGGGCGTCCAAAGTTTGACCTCGCTGATCTCGTCTTTGCCCCCCGGGTTGGGGCGGCGCTCTTCTTGCCTCAGGTCGGTTTTGTAGCCTTCGATGAACTGTTTGGTGAGTTCTGGTTTTTCGGCATCTCCCATAACGGGCCGGGAGACGGAGACGGCGTGGACACAATCGTACCAGGCGCGAAGTACGCCGTCGTGTGGGCGTCGGCGGGCGGCGTTGTGAGGAACCAGTCGCCATGGTAGTCCTTTGCACCGCCGTCTGTGTCTCTCTCTCTCGCCTAGTGTCGTCCGAGTCTCTCTTTGCACATGCACATGTGCATGTCTGCGGTACGGGCGTGTTTTCTTAAAATTCTCTCTTACAGCATATGTCAGACGCCGACTATCAGCGGCGCTGGCAACCCGGCGTCGAGACCGACGCTCGCGACGGCGGTGCGCCGAGCGACACGACGGAGGAGCAGATCGCCACGGAGGAGGCTTGCCAGCGCTGCATCGACGAGATATGCGACCCGGAGCTCCGCCGGGAGGCGGCTTCGCTCCTCACGCGCGAGCACCGCACGTACTGCGCGAGCGGCCTCTGGCGGCTGTCGGCCGGATACGCGTCGCTCGATGCGAGCCGGCCTTGGCTCTGCTACTGGATCGTCCACTCCCTCTCCATCCTCGGCACCAGGATCGACGCCGCCGCGGCCGACGCCGTCATCAACTTCATCGGCCGCTGCCGCGACCCGGACTGCGGCGGCTTCTGCGGCGGCCCGTACCCGGGGCAGATGGCGCACCTGGCACCCACGTACGCCGCCGTTAACACCCTCGTCACCATCGGCACCCCCGCCGCCTTCGAGCTCATCAAGGGCGCCAAGCTGGGCAGTTTCCTGCGTGCGATGCGGCGCGAGGACGGAGCCTTCACGATGCACCACGACGGCGAAGTTGACGTGCGCGGCGCGTACTGCGCGATCGCCGTGGCGACGCTGAGCGGCGAGGTTGAGGCGACGGGGCCGTGGGAGGACACTGCCAACTGGATCCTCGGCTGCCAGACGTACGAGGGCGGGGTGGGCGCGACGCCCGGCGAGGAGGCGCACGGCGGGTACACCTTTTGCGGCCTCGCCGCGCTGAGCCTGCTCGGCGCCGCGCACCGGCTCCGCCTGCCGCCGCTGGTTCGCTGGCTGGTGGGTCGGCAGATGGCGCACGCGGGGGGCTTCCAGGGCCGGACCAACAAGCTGGTGGACTCTTGCTACTCGTTCTGGCAGGGGGGCGCCTTCCCGCTAGTCCAGTCGCTGCTGCAGTCCCGCGGGGAGCTCGCGCCTGGCGGCGCCATCTACAACGCGCCGGCACTCCTCGACTACCTCATCGTCTGCGCCCAGGTGGCGCAGGGCGGTTTGCGCGACAAGCCGGGCAAGGGGCGCGACTACTACCACACTTGCTACGCTCTCTCTGGCCTCGCCGTCGCCGCTTCGGCCTCGGAGCTTCCGGGCGTGCCCGAAGGGTGGGTGAACGGCGTGCGGCTCATCAACCCGATCTTCAACGTTGTCAATGACAAGGTCGAGGCGGCGCTCGAGCATTTTCGCGCCGCCGAGTGATCCGACTTGTTGCGCATCGAGCCTAGCGGACCGCAGAACGTGACAGAGCAGCCTCTGTGATTGCCTCCAGCCTCTGACACTCGCACCTCTGACTCTAGAATGAGATATTTTCATTCAAACACGAAAGAACTCCGCCCGCGACCTCTCTCGGATCTCGCTTGGCGCTCCATCTCTCGACTCGCGCTCGTGCTTTGGGGGATGGGGGACCACAATGTGCTCAACATATTTGGATGGATGGATGGGAGATACGCGGGACTCAACCTCATTTTTCTTTGTTGGGTTTTGGGACATGCGCGGTGGAGATGCCCCCATCTGAGATGGGTATGTCGTTATGAGAGTATTTTTGTGCAAGCATGCAACTTCTTTGCTCTCCAGAGCCACCACGGTCTTAGGCCATCGTCCAACGGCCAGACCGCTCGCTTAAGGCTGATTGGCTAGACGAGCGGTCTACCTCCAACGGGGCGGTCCGGGAACGCGTGGAACCTGCCCACCTCGGTGGGCGGTGGTTCGGCGCCGACGGACCCGGTCCGGACGGACCGCCCCCTCCACCACCCTCGCCCAGGGAGAGGGATCTACGCTACAACTGTCTTTTATGTAATCGAGTGAGAGGACTCGACTTTGGTGGGGAGAGCCGTGGCCGTGGAGGTCGTGGAGGTCGTGGAGTTGCGAGTCACGCTCGGGCGGACAACATCGATGCCGTCGCCAGATATCTCTCAGAGAGCCGCACGGTCCACCTTCCTCCACGCGGAGGGGCCGCGGGGGGCACAGGGGCAAGTGAAACCCGCCTTGCCGCTTGGGTCGAGACCGGCGCCATCCGCCGACGAGGCCGCGCCATACGTACCTCCGTACGCGCCGTTGATTACCGGTTGCGAGGTTCATAATACACTTGAGCCACACCCAGTGAGGGGCGCCACCACGGTCTGTCCGCCAGAAGCAGAATCGCATAGCTACGGCTTTACTCGGCACGACGTCGTCACACTCAGGCGGACCAGGCAGTGCATGGACCAGGCAGTGCATGTGCCAGACCAGGTGCCAGGTACTCACACCACGAAGGAGACCCAGCCTGCCATCATACACACTCCGCCGACCGGCGCGAGCTTCCCCATCTCTCGGTCACCCGTGAGCGCGTAAGCGTAGCAGGAGCCGGAGAAGAGCAGCGTGCCAACGACCAGTAGTGACCCAGTTACCATCGGTCGCTTCTGAGAAGGACACGCCAGTAGCACGGCGCTGTGGATGAGATGGTATCGGTTAGCATTCTCAAACGCGACTTTCCGCTGTGGGTCGTCCACCTTCAGGCCGTGCGCGCCATAGGCGGCGACGCCAATCGCAGAGGCGCCGGTCAACCCTGCCAGCCGCGTGAGCGCGTGAGTCATGTGATCTGTTTTGTGATGAGAGGGTTGACAGGAGGAGACCGCCGCTAGCGATAACTACTGGCGCGAAGGCGAAAAGCACTGTGTCTGCGACGCGCAAGAAAAACTTCGCCATCGCGTGCTCCCAGACACAGCACTTCGAACGAGCTAGTGGAAGCACTAACAGTGGAACTGACTGATGTGTCGTCCCCTTTCGTGCCACGAGCCGCGCTGTCTAGTCCTTCTTTTTGCTCCCTCCCTCTCCGCCGCCGCCCTTGGCCCTGGCCTTCGCGTTCGCCCGCAGCTCCCTTCTCTTGACCTGGGTGGCAGCACAGTGCCGCGTTGCAAGGTTGGCGAAACGAGGGTCGGCCGAGTCGGAGGGCAGAGAGCGGCCGCTCTGCGTTGCGCGTGCGTTGCGCGTGGCTCGCAGCGGGCAGCCGTCGCACCTCGACGAGAAGTCTCGCGGTCGTGCGCAGGGCGTTGAGCAGAATGAAGCCCGCCGCGAGCAGCAAGGGCGTGCCTGCCGCGGGCGAGCGAGTGAGCAGGCGCCGCCCTCTCCGTGACGGCACTCGCCGACGTGAGACGACGCGCGAGGTCTACCAGGCCACGGTACTTCCGAGGAGGGCCGTCCGACGCTCTGCTGCTTGTGTTGCTTTCGTGTGCGTTCCATTGGGGGGGCCGTGTCATTGGGGGGCTGCGAGCGAGCGCACAGTAGAGGAGCGCAACGAAGACGCCGCGCTCGTCAAAGTAGTCTTGGGTGGCAAACTCGCGCCAGTGCGCCGCGCCGAGCGCGTTCAGCCGCTCCGCGCCGTAGACTGCACCGAGGATCGCAACGAGGAGCGCCATCTGCAACTCGTTGACGCGCCGCGTCACAATGACCACAGCCCACACGGACAGGTGGAGCCCGAGCAGGCCTGTGCGTGGGATGGGGGTCGGCGTCATCGAGGGCGAGTGGAGGCTGCCACGGAGCGGCGTGGACCCTTGAGCCACGGCTCGGTCCAGTCGACCGCGTGCACAAAGCCGCGCACGTCGTCTGCGAAGGAGCCCTCCGTCGCATTGCCGCTCTGCCGCAGGCCGCGGCGGACGAGCTCGTGAACCGCGAACTGGTTCATGACCGGGTTCACGGCTCACCCCGTGAACTGAGAGGCCTGCTCCTCGGGCGAGGGCGACAGTGGACCGACGGACGTAGAAATCTCACTTCTTTTCTCGCCGGCGGCGGCCGAGAAATGTCGATGGGCGTGAAGCCTTGTCCGGCGCCTTCTCAGTGATTTCCAGCGCCGGTGCCAGAGGCACTGAAGGTTCACTCCACCCTCCGCCACCATGCTGTGCCAAGCCTGACCTAGCCGTGCCTTCTCGTCTTAGCCTCTCGCTGTTGCTTCTCGCGCCGCAAGCTCTCACGGAGCTTTCCCCAGCCCGTGTGCCCTCCGCGCCTCGTGTGATCCACACGCGATCCGGCTCCTGCCCGGCGCAGGTAGCCGTCTTTGACCGCAGACGCGCAGTCTCGCACGCGATGATTCGGCGAAGATGCGCGCGCGCGCAGACCGCTCGGGCCCGCTGCTCCTGCGCACTAAGGACGCCCGCCCGCCCCGCGCCCGCGCGTGCGCGGCCCCCATCCGGCGGCCGCACGCCTGATTGAGCCGGCTCGCTGCTCGTCACAGGCGGTGGCGCTCACCCGCATGGACAAGGCGCCCTGACGCGGTGCGTGCGCAGCGCCAACCGTCGCCGGCCCAGACTGAGGACTCGGACGTTCTGGGGCCGACAACTGATCGAGGTTTAGGGAGCCGCAGTCCCGGAGGGCCCCCTCCCCAACGGGTTTTTGCTCTTCTCGCGACGGCAGGCTCGCTTGAACAACTGTCGTCGGGGATCGCAAATGTCGTAACAGTGCCGCTGCAGCGCTGCGCTCTCCCTTTGCGGCCTCCCGGCCACGAGATAGCCGCGCGGCTGGCGGTCGCCGTTGCACAGATGCGGCGGGTGCAACCGCGCGTATACGCGTCCGCCGCGGCGGAGAGGCGTCGCGTGTTTGAAGTCTTGGTGCAGAGTGGCGCCCGCGCGCCAGAGTGCGTTGCAGCTGCAGCCTGCAGCTAAAGACGTGTTCATCTTTAAACCAAATAAACCGAGGTGAGCGTGGTGGGTGCTGCGGGAGAGCTCGGAACGGTTCTAGCGCGAGCGAAACTCTATTTCAGGCTTTTTCTTTTCACCAGACGGCTTGATCGGCTCAGCCACGCTAAAGGAGTCACGCTCGGTCGAGTTTGCGTTTGCCCGTGCTGCTCGCGAGCTCGGCTGCTTGTACGGGCGACGATGGGTAGGCCGATTCCGCGGAACCTCCAGGCTGCCCACGACAAGAAGTGGATCCCCAAGGAGGCCGAACCGCGATGCCACCGCGAAAAGTATCGAGCACTGCTCGACGCCGGCTGGACCATCCTGCACAGCGGCAAAAAGAGCGACTTTCGCGTCGGCTACTACGCGCCAAGCGGTGTCGGCTTCGACTCCGTGCCCAAGGCGTGGGCAGCGCACGAGGCTGGCAAGACGGACAAGGGCGTGATCCGCGAGTACGTTTCGCAGGCGGGCTTGGCGGCCGTCCGCACGCCGCTCAACGCGGCCGCGATCGATGCGGGCGAGCTCAAGGAGCGGGCGTCGATGGCGGGCTTGGCGGCCGTCCGCACGCCGCTCAACGCGGCCGCGATCGATGCGGGCGAGCTCAAGGAGCGGGCGTCGAGAGCGGGCTTGGCGGCCGTCCGCACGTCGCTCAACGCGGCCGCGATCGATGCGGGCGAGCTCAAGGAGCGGGCGTCGACCGCGGGCACGGTGGCCGTCCGCACGTCGCTCAACGCGGCCGCGATCGATGCGGGCGACCTCAAGGAGCGGGCGTCGAGAGCGGGCTTGGCGGCCGTCCGCACGTCGCTCAACGCGGCCGCGATCGATGCGGGCGAGCTCAAGGAGCGGGCGTCGACCGCGGGCACGGCGGCCGTCCGCACGTCGCTCAACGCGGCCGCGATCGATGCGGGCGACCTCAAGGAGGTGGCGTCGAGGGCGGGCAAGCGGCCGTCACAGGCGGGCAAGTGCAACCCCGCAAACCAGCGCAGGTCGTGGGCGGCGGCCGCCGCGCGAGGCACCGGCGAGACGCAGGACGGCCTCTCGCCGCAGGAGCGAGAGGACATGGCGCAGCAGGTTGCGGGCGAGGTCAACGCCGTCGCGATCGCCGCGCTCGATCACAGCGGGAGCACCTCCGTCTACGTCGCCGTCGGCAGCCACCGCCGCATGGTGACCAACCTGCAGGAGGCCAAAAAAAAGGGGTGGAAGTGCCTCGGCGGCTGTGAGGTTCTCGCCTCCCTGCTCCGCTCCACCCCGGTCGCTTTCGTCCTCGATGAGAAGGGCCACGCGCAGCGCTTCTGCACCGCAAGCCTGCGGAAGCACCTGAAGGCGGGCAACATCGAGGTCTTCGTGAGCGAGGAGTGCATGCATGCCGCGTCGACCGCCAAGCGGTCGGAGGTGCTCTCCCACACGGAGCTGATGCAGCAGTACCCGCACCCGCGCACCCTCATGTCGGGCATCTCCAAGGGCGGGCCGCAGCAGGGCCAGGCCTGCGGCCACGCGCTCGGCGTGCTGATGATGCACTGCATGGGCGAGCACTTCGTCGCGCCGCAGGTCGACACGTACGTCCTCGAGATCCAAGCCAGCCCGGCCTACCGCGAGCGGAAGGACGAGCTGGGCAGCACCTGGCAGGAGCACGCGCAGCAGCAGGCGTCGTCGTCGTCCGCGCCGCTCGTGCTGCCGCCGTGGTCGCGCGCCTTCACCTGCAAGCTCGAGAACCCTCAGCGGAAGGGGCACTGGCACAACAAGTACTGGACCGCCTCCTTCGAGCCGGAGAACGCGGTGCTCGTTTTCACGTGGGGCCCGCGCGGCGAGTCGCACACGAACGTCCTCCGCCTCCAGTTTGGCGGGCAGCACGCCGCGCTCGCGAACGAGCTCGGCACCCGGCGGTGCACGAGCAAGCTGACGGGCAGCCGGAGCCGCAAGACAGGCAAGCTCACCAAGGCGCCGTACACCGAGCTCGCGCCCGGCGAGGTGCTCGGCAGCGGCGGCGGCGGCGGCGGCGGCGGCGGCGGCGGCACACGCTCCTCGCGCAAGCGCTCCGCGCCGTCGCCAGCCGGCGCCGACGAGCCCGTCGCCATGGACGCCTCGGAGCCCGCGGCGCGGCCGCAGCGCAGGGCGGCCGTCGAGTCGTTGGTGCGGCTCAAGCAGATGATGTACGCTGAGCGCGACGTCCCGTTCGAGGAGGACAGCGACGTCCCGTTCGAGGAGGACAGCGACGACGAGGACAGCGACCACGAGGAGGACGGCGACATGGACTGACTTTGCGGCTGGCTCCTGCCGAGAGGCGGGCAGAGGAGAGGACGGAGCCACAAATGAGAAGGGCTCCAGCGGCTCGCTTACTGAAGACTCAGGGTTCATGTGACTGGTCATGAGTGTCGTGTGCTGCACATACCGTCACGTAGCCGACAGCGGCGCCTACTGAGAGGAAAGATCTCCAGCCAGAGCAAGGCCACGGAATATCACGGCGCTTGTTGCCTTCCGGAATGTCAGCCGAAATGCCCTCATCTCTCGGGTACGTGATCGGCTACTTCAAGTGCTACTCCGTGGGAGCCGATCACGTACCCGAGGCTGAGGGCCTTCGAGAATGTGACCCACGGAGGGACTGTCTGACCGGCATCTACGAGACTGTGTGTCTTATGTGTGCAAGCGAGTAGTAGTGTAGTGACTCTCGACATATGAGCAGGAGCAGTCCGCACGGTGAGGTAGCAGCATACGATCGAGACAACATGCAGCCGAGAAGGGCCATCGAGCACCCGTAGTCGTGGCCAGATCGTGGCAGCTATGCAGCCATGTCGATGGGCAGCGGGCTGTGCCGCAGGATTAGGTGACTTCTTGTCGGACACGGCGCAGTACACACAGCGCGACGAAAAAAGAAAAAAGACCTAAAAGAAAAAAGACCTAAAGGAGCACGGCCTCGCGGACGGCGCCGCTGTCCATCGCAGGAAAAGAATTTTTATTGTTCTATTTGTTCCTGTGGGGGTATATCGCAGATTTGTCAATGGTACCGCGTCTGCGACGCGGGCGCCTTGCGGGCAGAGCCCTTAGCCACCCTTTATTTGCATCTTGCGCGGTCAAAGGTCACCTTCATCCTCCTTTTAGGCGTCTCATCCGAACGTGGCCGAGGAGAGCGTAAGTAGAGCGATGAGTCAGAGGATGAAGCGACAGGAGAGAGAACGACGAGAGTGAGAAGACCGGGAGGCGGCATGAAGGTCGCTGCGAGAATTGGCGAGAGACTGCGAGAGACATGGATGGAAGAGGCAGACGCCCAAGGGTGGGCGACGGCTAGCACCACACTCCTCTCCTTAAACCAATCCGTATATGGCGGCGTGCTGTCCTGCCATCCTCCCATATCCCTGCTAGGGGCTCTGTTTCTTTCTTTTCCTTGTGTTTTAGTGCCAGTGCGCGCCAGTCCCGTGCCCAGTGTCGTGCGAGGGAGCTTTTTAAAATTATTTCTGTTGCAATTCTCGTTTGAGCGGAGGGTGGCTGGCTCATGTAGGACTGCAAAGGACCAGGAGAGGCACGATGTCTAGGACATCGCGTCAGGGAAGACGCGCCGAGGATACCCATCGCTAAGCCGACGATGCTACGGGTAGCCCCAGGGTGCCGCCCACCCCAATACCCTCGGGCACTTGCCTGCGCCCTGGCCGCGCACGCCCGCGCACGCTCCGCGCACGCTCCAGGGGGTCCTCCTGTAGCTCCCCTACTCTGATCGCGCTCGCCCCGTGTCCGTATCCCACAAAGAGCTCGTAGCCGTGCAAGCCCACCAAGGCAGCCTCGATTGCCATACAGACATGGGTGCGAAACAACGACAAGACCAAGGCACGGGCAGAGGAGCGAGAGAAGATAGGATGGATAAAGCGCCTGTTCACGGCATGGAGGGTGAGCCACGCTGAACGTGTACTGAACGTAGAGCCGGACGGGTGGAAGCCGGGGAAGACGAACCCGAGGAGGACCCAGTGGGGTAATCCCGTCGTCAGCTGTCGCGATGCACCCGAAGGGGACCCCAGCGCCAACATCATCGGTGGAGGTACAAGTGTTCGAAGAGAGAGTGGACCTGAGCAACAATATGACTTGGCGGCAAATGATCGCAGTGGGCGTCAGAAGAGTCGTCCTTGCGCGAGGAGAGCTCGATAGACTCGAGGGGCCAAAATATGCCGCGAGGAGGGCAGAGTTGCGCCGAAAGGCGGGAGAAGCTGCGAGAGCAAGGGAGCGGCAGGCGGCGGCGCCGTCGCAGAACGAGGCAGAGGAGAGCGACGCGACAGAGGATGAAGCGACAGGTGACAGGAGAGAGAACGACGAGAGTGGGACGACCGCGAGGTGGCATGAAGGTTGCAGCGAGAATTGGCGAGGGACTGCGAAGAGAGATAGGAAGAAGCAGACGCCCAAGGGTTAGGGTGGGCGACGGCTAGCACCACACTCCTCTCCTTAAAATCCCTGTGTGGTGGCGGCGTGCCGTCCTCCCATCCCTCCCTTGGGTTGTCTGTTTTCTTTCTCTTTTTTCGACTGAGCGATGACGGATGTGGAGGAAAAGAATTGTATAACAAAACTCCCTCGCACGACACTGGGCACGGGACTGGCGCGCACTGGCACTAACACAAGGGAAAGAATTTTATTTCCCTCGCGCCCGCACACGACACACGACACTAGGCACCGGATGCACGCCCTGTGTGAGCGGGGCGGGGTGCGCACTGTGCCTCTGTGTTCGTGCGTCGCCCATCTCTCCTGGAGATGACTGATCTATTGAGCACTTGAGCACTGGATAGGGTCGATTCCGCGTGGGGATTTATTACACTAGGCACCGGACGAGAGTCGAGAGTGAGAAGACCGCGAGGAGCGAGGAGGCATAAAGGTCACAGCCGAGAATTGGCGAGAGACTGCAAGCAAGAGATAGGAAGAGGTAGACGCCCGAGGGTGGGTGACGGCAGAACCACACTCCTCTCCTTTAAAATCCCTGTGTGGTGGCGGCGTGCCCTCCTCCCATCCCTCCCTTGGGTTGTCTGTTTTCTTTGATTAGTGCTAGCACGCGCCAGTCCGCACACCTGTGTCGAGCCTGTCTGCTGTGAGAGAGAGTTGTTTTTGTTAAATTCTTTCTTCACTAGTGCACCAACCAAATCTCGCACAACACCAAAAAAAGAAATTTCCGGGGAGGCGGCGTGCCGTGTGGTGCGTGGTGCGTGGTCCCGCGAACCCGCGCCCTCCCATCCCTCCGTGCTTGTGTTCTCTCTCTCTCTCTCTCTCTCTCTCTCTCTCTCTCTCTCTCTCTCTCTCTCTCTCTCTCTCTCTCTCTCTCTCTCTCCCGCTCCCGCTCCCTCCCCCCCCTCCCTCCCTCCCTCCCTCCCTCCCTCCCTCCCTCCCTCCCTCCCTCCCAGCTCCCTCCCTCCCTCCCTCCCTCTTTCTCTCTCTCTCTCTCTCTCTCTCTCTCTCTCTCTCTCTCTCTCTCTCTCTCTCTCTCTCTCTCTCTCTCTCTCTCTCTCTCTCTCTCTCTCTCTCTCTCTCTCCCCCCGCCCTCTCTCTCTCTCTCTATCTATAGGGTAGGTAGGTAGGTAGGTAGGAAGGTGAATGAATTTAATGAATCTCTCTCTCTCTCTTCTATGAGAGGTTGAGGTGCGAGCCCTGGACCTGCTGGAGGCCCTGGGGATGGGAGCTTTTGGACAAAAGGAGTAAGAAACAAGAATCTCAGACCTGGCACGACTTCACAGCCTTGTTATTGAGACTTCACAGCATCACAGGACGACGTTCACGCGCTGATTCATTGCATATTCGCTTTGCGGTCGTTTTCGAGTAGGGCGGCGGCGCGAGTGGCTTCGACCCTCTCGACCCCCCTTTCCTTTTTGCGTCTATGGACGCGACTGGCGGCGGTCGACCCGCGGGAATGGTCCCTCCTCCCGCCTACGGCCGTCGCAGCTGGCTGCGCGTCGCGCTGCTAGTGGCACTGGCGATGCTCTCTGCCTGCGCCTTCCAAGCGTCGGGACTTGAGCATCGAGTCAAGATTGGAGTTGGCAAGCCGTTTGTGCAGGCCGTCCTTGAATCCTTCGAGATGCGGGTGGACCAGATCACGCTTCAAGCTCCGCACCACTGGCCAGGTGTGCGCCCGCGCCCCACCTCCTCCGCAGCATAAGTCCCGCCATATATGACCTCGTGATGCTTGCAGCAGATCCTGAGGTGCCGCTAATCAACTTTAACGTGCTCGTGGACGTCGCCATGGAGCTGCTCTTCTTTGGAGCGCAGGTCAGCCGAATGAGGCGGAGCAACTCTCTCCGGAGGGTGTCCTCACCGCTAGCGCTGCACGGCAGGCAACGCTGGGTTACGCCGAGATGAACGTCTTCTTTCGCGGCGAGCGCTTCGGCACGCTCTACACGCTGCCGTGCCCGCTCGGTGGCGGCGGTAAAATCAGAACGCAGATCGCTGGCAACCTGGTCGTGGACGACGTCGCTGTGTTCCAACGCGTTGTGAAGACGGTGGTGGCGGAGGACAAGTTCACCATCGAGCTGTGAGTGCACTAGAGCGACGCGCTCGGTCTCCACCACCCATCCAGAGGTAGTGGTAGCCCGCGGGAGGTAGCGGCATGGGCCGCCCGCGGTTGTTGCACAGCGGAGCGGTCGTCTGCCTGCTCGCAGGTTTGCCGTCCTCGCGGTCGAGCTCCGCGGCGCTGACCAAGGCCTGCCTTTTTGCAGCGGCGCACGAGTTTCTCCGCAGGTCTGTTGGGCATCAGCTCCAGCACCTTGCTCCGTAGGGCTATGCCGCTTCGACATCGCGACGTGCAAGACCAAGGGTACTATGCGTATCCCCGGCATCACGTTCGCAAAGTCGGTCGAGCTCCGCGGCGCACACAACTTTGGCATTGAAGTTCGAAACCTCCAGTGCGGGACAGCTCCGAGACACTTCAAACCTCTCATCCACCTGCTTGCACGCTTCCTACTGCAACTCTTGGCTCGCAATCGGTCTCTGCTCCGTGCGCACCACCGCCGACGCCACACCCCCCCACCACCACCGCACCCACGCACCCATGCCACTCCAGAACCACATCCGCGCGCATTGGAGCTTATGCGTCCACTGACGCGTTCGCAACGTCTGCAGTGTACTCGATGTGGAGCACGACTCGACCGAGGTCGCAGAGAACGCCGTTGTCACGATCGACGCGCGGCTGCACAACCCGTCGACGTGTGCGACGCGTACTTATAGACTGCGTCGCATAGACTGACGGGCTTCGGGATAGGGGAAACGTCCCAGGTCCAAGCTCGGCGCGTGTTGTCGCAGGTTTGTGATGCATGACCTTGGAGCGGTGGCCATCGACGTGCATACGGATCTCTCGGCTTGCGACCGGGGGCATCACGCTGCAGAGGCGAAGTTGGGGGCGCAGGGCTGCATCCGACGCTACAACTCCCACAATGCCAACTCGTCGGTGGCCGCAGAGCATTCCCTGGGCGTCAAATTTGCCGAGGCCACCCGCCCGCCCCTCCCTTCATCGGCACCGCTTCCGCCTCCCTCGCCTCCGCCTCCCACCGACTTCACTCCCATCCCTTCATCATGGCTAGCGCCTCCCCCGCGCCAAGTGAGCTTCATCCCCCGCCCACCCAGGTGCAAACGGATCGCCGCTTTTGGCTCGCGCGCAGACACAACGATTGGTTCACCGTGAAGGGGAAGCTGAAAGTGGAGAATCGCGAGCGGGATCTCGTTTCGACGGCCGACGTCTTCAACCACTATCTGACGTCGAGCACTACGCCGCTCATCGCACGTGTAGCGGCGGTGCCGTCGAGCCTTTTCTATTCGGCGGCCGCCAGGGGCACCGCGTTTCGGGTCGATCTACCAGGTGCGCGTGGGCCGCGAGTAGATTGGTGGGAGGCAGGGCACGCTCGTCTAGCGACAGAGGCAGAGGGCGGATGTAGCGGCACCCGATCGGGTTTCCGAGCTTCGGGCGAAACATGACCGCGAGATGGTGCAGGGGGCTTGGGTGTCTCGGATGTCTCGGCTGCTCTCGGATGATCGATCTCGGGCATCGATCCGGTTTCTATATCGATAGGCATGGGATCGAGCGACCACAACATTGTCCAGAAGGCCTTCGTTGACCTCAATATCCCCGTGGCCACCGCGACGCTCCTTAATCCTCTCGACGGTGCGAGGCCGTAGCGAGCCCGCCCCTCTCCTGCTCGTTGGAATTGGAGGACGGCTCGCAGAGTCGCAGCTGAATCCCACCCTCATGCTCTCGCCGCACACCCAGAGCCTGCCACCCCGTGCGCCACTGCGGATTCATTCCTCGAATGCCGCTTCAGGTGCTCTGCGAGGGACCCCCATGTTGCATCAGTATTGTCACGTGGCGCTCCGCAACCCGCTCGAGACCCAGCTCTACGTGAAGGGCATAAGCGTGCGCATACTGTACAACAACGTCAAAGTGGGCGAGATTTCGCTGCCGGAGCTGACGGAAGAGCAGGCTATCGTGCTGCCACCGAGCGACACCTTTGTCACGCCGATCAAGTTCCCAGTAGAACTGTTCGCGGTGGACATCAAGGACCTCCTCTCTCTCCTCCGAGAGCTGACCCCGCACCCCATCGGCGCGGGCTACGCCAAGGTCGACTTGGACGCCCGCATCAAGGCGCGTGCCCCCCACACACACTTGCGACTCTTGGCACTTATCTTTCCATAGCTATCACGTCTGCCACCCACCCACGAAGGTGAGAGTCGGCGGCATCGAACCGCTGCTCGCCTACCGGCAGGTCCTTCTCAACTCAGCCATCCAAGACCTCCAGACCCCTCAGGCCGCCACCCACCCACCCACCGTCGAGCGTCATTGACCCATGCCCTCCCTCTGCAGAGCGACGTCCTCATCCAGCTCGAGAGTTCTCTCCTCGGCGTCTCTGTGCACAAGGCTTACGAGGACCTCCTGAACATGTGGAAGCCACACCCACCGCCCCCGCCGCCGCCCGCGCCACCCTCACCGCCTCCACCGCCACCGCCACCGCCACCGCCTCCACCTCCACCGCCGCCCCCGCCCTTGCCGCCTCCTCCCTCGCCACCGCCGCCGCTGCCCCCGCCGTCGCCACCACCATCGCCACCGCCGCTGCCACTCTTGCCGCCGCCGCCGCCGCCGCCGCCACCGCCACCGCCACCACCGCCACCGCCACGTCCGCCGCCGTCGCTTCCGCCGCAGCCACCACCATCACCGCCGCCCCCACCACCGCCACAAGCACCGCCGCCGCCGCCACCGCCGCCGCCGCCGCCACCACCTCCGCCCCCGCCAGCGCCCCCGCCATTACCACCACCGTCGCCGCTATCGCCACCGCCGCCGCCGCCACCATCTCCACGACCTGTGACGCATGTGAAGCATGAGGGAGAATGGACGATAGGACTACACGTCCCGG